GCGGGGTGTGCAGAAAAAAAGTGAATTTTTTTGTTTTTTTGGGGGGGGGGGGGGGTTAAAATAGTGGCCACATTAAAAAATTAACATATATATAAAATAATTAACTATGGCCACACAATACAACAAATAAATAAAGTTCATAGCAGCTTGAGGAAACTCTAAAAATCAAAAGTTCAAAGTAGCTTGATGAAAATCAATCCAAACCCAGACCTGGTGTTGTATTCCAGCGTGCCCACATCCCACAGTTGCACTAACGCTGTTCCAGGATAGGTTTTGTGAGAGTAATGCTGGTCCTCCATGTCCTTGTGGCAGGCCAAGGCCAGGTACTGCGAGGCTACCACATTATCGGGCGTCGGGCACCACTCCATAGCCCACACCGGCCCGCCGGTATACAAATGCATGTCCCAGCACTCCAGGTGGGCGGGTGACGACTCAAACCTGCACAAAACGCCCAGAAAATGTGATATAGTTAATCAGCGGTGGTTATCCTGTATGGAAATCAGGGATAGGTGTGTTTGCGCACGTCCGGAAGCCGTTAAAAAAAAAAAATTAAAAAAAAGGGGGTGGGGGCACAGAGTGAGATGTGGAAACATTTTGCTTACATGGCTGACAGTCAGGACAAGCTGAAAGGCACCCCGGGCTTAGATATAATATCCAGTGTGGCCAAACAGCTGACTGAACGCTGAATGAGTAGCACATTAGCAAATGTGGCACGTTGAAATGACTTCAAATAAGAAGTGTAATGAGTGTGTATTATTTTCTAACAAGCAAAGATGTAGCCCACTGGTTGCATTTGATGAGGTAATTTATCAATGGTGTCATTTGTAGATTATCGCAAGTACGCAGTTGCATGGACACATCGTACCTGTTGAGTCTCTGTAGCGGCGCCTCCTCGTCACAACCGTCCCGGGACACTTTGAAAGCAGCCGAGACACACTCATGAGGTAGATAGGACTCCAGTTCACTGCAGGAAAACACACGGCAACATGACGTTACTTTTGCAAATTGTGAGGGGGAAAAAAAACGAAACAATACGGCTGCTGTCAGACGGTGAAGGGAAGCACCTGGAGGGCACTCGATGCCAGACACGAGAGGAAGGCAGCCACTCTGGAAAAACCCAGCTGCTGAGTTGCTCATCACAGCTACAAAACAAAACAAAAATAACTTTTTTAGGCGTAATAAGGGGATCATAAAGATGAGACAATCAAGACTTACAATTTCTTGTGACTGTTGACGGTTTCCAAAATCGCACTGATCATGAGGGCGGGTATTTTCAGGATTCGAGCGGCCTGGAGGAGAAATATATTATTAAGTTAGTCCCAGAACCCCCCAAAAAGAAAAAAAAGAACTTTTGATCAACTCTAAACAGCGTCACGCAAAAGCACAGAATTCAGACATATGGTGAACATTTTGTCATTGACCAAATATGGTCACTTCCTGTTCAAAGGGCTACAAAGAGGTAGACAAAAAAAAGGTACTTACGCTGCCACTGTATTTTTCATCCCGATAATTGACGGTGGCCTCTTCTTCACCTTCATCTTCTTCCTCATATTCGTCCTCCTCCTCCGCCTCGGCTTCCGCAACGTTCGGAACAAAGTCCTCGTCTTCTGAAGCGTTGCTATCCGAATATTTTCTCTTGCGGCCTTTGCGGCCTAGTGGGGCATCAAAATACGTTTGGTTATAAAAAAAAAAAAAAAAAAAAAAAAAAAAAAATGTCCATAACACGTGGTATTTTCTCACCGTACCTTTTTTCCTTTGAGACTTTCTTTCCTCTGTAGTTTCCGGCGCTGGTTTGGAGATGACGTCACTGGTCACGTTGGAATCTTCGGTGAACTCTTCTTTCACCATCGTGTGAAGGAACTTCATTGCCCTAAAATGTTTTTGTCATGAGAAGCACAGATTGGCATCAAGCAAGGCCCAGATTGTTTTTTTTTTCGTGCAGATGGAGATCATTGGTTCATTCAAGATTATTTCATTCTGTATATTTACTGTTTGGTCTTCTTGACCACAGAGCAAACAAAGCGCTAAGAATCTTTGAACCAGATGCAAACCAACTGGCTGGAAAGCTTCAGTACTTCAAGAAAGCTTCATTTCGCCACCACAAGCTATTACACTGTCAGAGCCATGACTCACATTTTAGCAGCGGTCCTCTTTGGGCGTCCTCCTGGTTGCAACTCCTCAGGTTCTTCTTCTTCTTTAATGTTCTCACTGGGTGCGAGAAGCTCTGCATTCACGATTTGCTTCTTCACGTATTTCCTCTTTGGTTTCGGCGTCCCATTCTCCAAAGACTCTTCGGTGATGGGCGAGGGGGAAACATTCGTATGGGCCAAGAGGTTCCCGTTAGCCACGTGAGGTGACGTGCAGACGTCTGCACTCGCCAACGGAACCTTTCTTGGCCGTCCTACTTTCCTGCCAGGAGTCTTCCCGGGTGGCTTCGCCACCGTGGCCACAGCCCGGGGTTTCCTCGCCAGCAGTTCTTCATCCTTTGGTTCCTCATTTGTTTCGCTGGTGTCATAGTCAAGATATCTGGAGTTCTTTTTGCGTAGCCGACCTCTGGAGCTGGGCGTTAAATCATAGGCGGCCTTTGATGGTGTCTTTTGGCCTGTGAGGTGAGCGATGTCATCACTCCATTTTATTTTTCAAGGGGACACATAGGAAATTCACTTTTTAATGTTTGGATACAGAAAGCTGTGTGTCTGGAGTTAATCTTTAACTATCTTACTCTTCTGAAAAGGAAGAATTAAAAACGGCAAATTGTGTCTGAATATTCAAACCTTGCTCAGGGTTAGCAACATCCTCCGGCACAGTTTCCTTTACCATTATCTTCTCAGACGTTCCGTCATGTATGTCTTCTCATGTCAGCTGTGCAGCTGTTTTGAAAACAAGCCAGTAAAACACACACAAACGTAGGAAGGCTGGGTTACAAACCCGGCACCTCAGAATTATGAGGCAGACATCCTTATCATTTGTCCACCATGATGAGGACCTAAAAAGCTCCAATGCAGGTCCCACTTTTGAAAACAATACTTGTATTTACGTTAACTGGATTATACCAGTGTATTGTACCTAATGTTGTGGCCGCTGAGAAGGGGATACAGGTCTGCACTAGTTTGAGGCAAACTTTTTGGGAAAATAGAGTTACACCAACCAAGGTTTCTGCACTTTATTGTACAAAGTACCGGGTAGGTAAGCTAAGTAATAATATATCTTAAAATGTATGAGTGAGGTCAAAATAATATCCCATGGGCATGCGTTCAGATTCGCAAACCAAATACCATTCATCTATCTGACAATTTGGCATTTTCAACCTTCCTCGGAATGGTTCCATGAAAAAAAAATTTAACTATAATAAGAACTAACCTCTGTATTTTACTTTATTATTTACTCTATCCGTCAGGCATGCCCTGTCACGCAAGCGGGGTTAGCACCTCACGGCTAATGCTAACTTCCCGGGCCGCCGACAATGTCCTGATTTAAAATGCTGTACGTGTCAATAAACAATGCCACTTGACAAGCATTTCAAAATCCGGCGAATACAGTTATTGTTTAAGGCTCACCTGGTGGTAGCCCCGGCCGCCCTTTTGGGGTGGCGAAGGCTGACTTTCCGCGTCCGGATCCACGATGCGACGATCTGAACATGCGGGTTCGAGTCCCCCACTCGGAAATCTGAGCAACGCGGTTAAAATGTGAAATATTTTAACAATAACCGCATATCCTGTAGCACTGCGACAAATGTCAAGATTCCACCGAAAATAAGCATTGTCGGCACTTGTTTTGATTGTAACTCGCATTCAGCTCCCTTCAGTCCGCCATGTTTACTGGAAGGGGGCTCACGTCTCCCCCTGTCGACGCAAAGGAGAACTGCACCCTTTAATCGGGTGGCGCTACAAACACGCATGCGCCAAATGGGAGACGCAACATTTCGGTATTTGGTTCAGCGTCCTCAAACTTTTCCAAGAGCACCTTATTATTATCCATTTTATGGTCCATGTACTCAGCGTCAGTTACTTCATTTCATCCAGCCAAAAAGTATAAATGAAGTGGGAGCAAGCAACAAAAAAAAGTAAAATCAGACTTTCTTATTCATTGATAACATTGGTCAACAATTTTTACATTTTCAATGAGTTTACGTTTCGATCTTAATTTTTTTGGACTGATTCCGTATCTGACCTCATTATTTCTCTAGCACATCAGGTTTCTGTAATGATAATCCCATAGGTAATATAGCAATACATTTAGTAATATTTACAATTAAGATTCAGCATTCAGGTGGATTTTTTTTTTGAAACATCTAAACTACAAATGGCATCACATGGCAAAACACACACTATGCAAGCCTTTATGGGCCATACTTAAAAACAAAACATGAAACTCTCAAAAACCTGATGTGCTAGAAAAAAGTAAAAACCTTCCAAGTCAAATCAAAATGTCATGTGTAGAACTCCCCAGACACTTCATAGAATGCAACCATCATCATTTTTATTTGAACTGGCTGCATGAATGCAAGATTTTATTAAATTCTCATCATACTCAAAGTGCTTGTCCCATCTCAACGAGTTAACATTTTTTCCCTCGACACCTTGAGAGATGGGTGATGCTAATTTGCAGATTGCCATTTCATGTTTAAAATGTAATCACTATTTTACGGTAACCAATTAAGTCAGGCACACCTACTGTGATAACACAAGTTTCACTGGAACAATGTGATACGCACAGAAAAAATATGTTAACTACACTTGTACGTGTAACAATCTCTCACCTTTCTTACTGCAGCTCACCTGAAAATTTTTAAACCAGTTTTTGTCTTTCGGATGCCTCCGCGTGGAACCCCATCCCATCCGAGCATCTCGGCTTCCACCGATGCATCGGTCCGGGTCGGCCACATTGCTCCGAGCCGTCCTTCCGTCTCTCCTCGTGCTCCCTTCGGTTCCCCTCCGCCATCTTGTCGGCGTCCTCCATCTCAATGGGGGCCTGCTCGTCATCGGCCAGCCACGCGGGCCCGCCTGGACGCTCCACAGGGGTGCAACGAAGCGTGAGGTGGTGCTGCATCTGGTAGTGAGGCTGATGATGATGGCGGTGGTCCATGACATCCTGCTTTGCCTGGTGGACCGTCTCTCTGGGCCGTTTTTTCAACTTCATGGAAGCCTTTTTGTTGGTCACAAACCATTCCTGAAGCACAAAACCATCAAACCTGACCATGGGATGAATGTGAGTTTGGGAGTGTGGGAATTCTGAGAGATTATTTCACCCAGTTCTGAAGCCAATTGTGTGAAACCAAACATCCCCCAAAAATAAATTAACATTTTTTTGGGATGTAGAAAACGTGTATTGAAAACACCCACACAAGTTTGTTTTCAGCTAGCTTAATGCTACGAGACAATGCAAATTGTCCTGTAGCATTAAGCTAGTGAACAAATAGCATTGATAATTGTTAAGTCATTTTAAACTCCTGATCAAGAAAGTCACACTTGAACATCAATGATGTCAAGGGATGTTTTCGAAAGTGAAATTAACCTGCGAATGCGTGGCGTTGATGTGATATTTCACCCCGCTCTCCGAGTGAAACTCTTTGCCGCAGATCAAACAACGGTACTTTCCCGCCTCAAAGTGGCCCTGCAAGGGAATGGCACGCATGATTCTAACACTTGAATCTGATAAGGTGACGTGCAGCTGCCATGTGGAGGAGATGACGCACCCTTTCGCACAGCCCCAGGTGAGCCTTGAGGCCAGATACGCTGGTGTACGTGCACCCGCAACCCTGAAACGCACGAGACAATAACAAACCGAGAGGTTGCATTGAAAGGGACATGCAGTATTCTGGAAAAGTGACGTTTTCATTGTTTTTGTACACATAGTTGCATGTCCGGGCTGCCTCTCCACACAACGAATGTGAAATCAAGATGTCAGTATGCACTAATAAATAAATACAAATGCAAGCGAGCGCTTCTTAATTCTGACAAATTATGAGGTCACATTTTTCTGCCCGTGACGTGGAAGCTAGCTTGGGCGAAGGTCCTGAGACACGACAAGTGGCTGTTAGAAGAAACTTTAGCAACAAAGGCAGGAAACGCTCCACAATTTCAGAATAAAGGCAAATGTGACCTTGTTGGGACAGTTGATCTTCCTGTGCAACTTCACTTCATTCTTCCACTTCCTCAGCAGCTCCTGGCTGAAGGCGGGCAGGCCGGGTCGAGAGTATTTCAACTAAAAGCCAAATATTTCTTATGAATGACAACAATAGTTAAAACCCCGAATACATTAAACCACAAATTCGATTCTCAAAAAACTTCAATATCATTTAAAACTGGTCTTAAAACGTAACAGCCAACAACTCTATTCTCAGCAGTGTGTTAAATTTACGAGAGATATCTTTTTTGTTTACTTTGAAGAGACTAACTGTACTTGGTTGAAAGCCTCTTGCCTTTTTGTCATCGGGCACCAGGTCGGATTGAAAGGTCCTCTTGGGCCAATCTTTGAATGGCTCCTTGTTGGACATCTCCGCCATGTGAAAGTTGGCCAGCAGCGCCGAAGCCCGTTGAACTCTACCAATGGCCGTTCTCTCTGCCTCAGCTTGGTTCTGGACCTCTGCCGCTCGATCTTGCTGCGCCGGACTCACGGGCATGTGCTCGGACTTGAGGTGGTACTCCAGGCCGGCTTTGGACTTGTATGTTTTCCCGCAGTGCGAACAACGGAGAAGCAGCTTGTCCAGTTCCGCCTGCTCCTTGCCGCACTTCTTCATGTGGTACATGTATCCCATGATGCTGCTAAACGTCGACGTGCAGCCCTGGAAAACATGCAGAAGGAGAGAAGATTGTCGAGTGTGTCAATAAAAGCAACTGAGAATTCCACGACTAATGAAGAAAATCCAATTTGACCTCTTTGGGGCACTTGACTTTCCCCAACTGCTTCAGGATTTTCCTTAGTTTGTCTTTGATGGAGCACTCGTCCAGGTCCCGGGTGTCTTCCGCTGACGGCTGGTGAGCGGGCAAAAAAAACCCGCAACATTTCCAAATGGCCTGCCGTCGACCGCTTACACTTACCGGGTTGCCGTGGTCGGCCATGACGTGATACTTCATCCCCGTGGAAGACTTGAGCTGCTTCCCGCAGTGTTGGCACGTAAACGCTTGCTGAAAGTCACATCAGTGAACAATCATCTGTGAGTGTGCTGCAGGAAATTATCCAATCACAGCAGGCCGACATTTTATTGTCAAAACACGAATATTAAAAGTGGAGAGGTGCTGACCACTCTGCAGTTGTCCACGTGCTTCTTGAGACCTTCCACCGTCTTCCTGCTCACGCTTTTACATTTGGGACAATTGGCTCGGCCTCTGGCGAAAATCTGGAGTTGCCAACGTTCCTCCTGGCTGCCTGTGTTAAAAATGCCAATGGCTACTGGTTGGAAAAACATACTTGACAAATATATTCGTCACTAGGAATCAAAGTTTGGATACTATTCAGACAATTCTAAACGCTAGTGAATGTATTCATGCCATATCAGCCAGTCCTACCTGGAGGATAGCTGGGAGGCTCCTTCTTGCTGGAGACTCCCAGTGGCTTGGAGGAATTGTTTTGGACACCACCAATAATTGCTGCTCCGGCGCCTGGACCATTTTATAAGCCAATCAAAATGAGCAGTCTATAAAGAGGAATATGAATAGTTCAGAACAATTACCAGGTTTGGAGAAGAGATTTGTGCTGCGGTTCCAAGTCTGGACTGGTTCTGAATAGGGAGCCCCACTGGCCTGAGCCTGCCCTCGGGTGAAGTCCCTGCTTGATGTGACTGTCCACATGTCTTGCTGACTTGGGTGTACCGCGGCGTCGGTCCAGAGATGCTCCCGAGCTGGGTCTCCATCTGTAGTCCAGGAGTGGACGTTTCGGTCCTGAAGCTGGGAGGTTCCTCTGCTGTGAGGCCACATGTCCTTCAGCAAGAGCCTGGGAGGAAGTCTGGGAGCCTTGGCCTGACCAGAGCAGCTAATGTTTGGATGACTTATGGAGACATTCTGAAGGTTCTCATACCTGATACAAAAGTCCATCATTACTTCGTTACAAAAAAACAAAAACAAAAAAAATCACACTGATGATGTAAATGCCTCAAAATTCAAGAGTCAGATTCAGATGGATGTCTTACCTTCTCCTGGTGTCACCTCTCTTCATCATAAAAGCTTCTTGATGATCATATCGCTCTAAAATAAGACAATAAACCTTCAAAAATTTTGCTGACGATATTTAACTGCACCAGATGTTAAAGAAGACTTTTCAGTAGGGGAAAACACAGTCGCAGCGGCGCGGCCACTTTAGAGTGCCTCGTTGTCAGAGTGGGGAGAAAAGCCCCGAGATGACCCGGCGAGATGTATTTCACCTTGCAGGAACTTTCATGGATCTTGTTTATTCACTGGGGACACTAATGTTCGTTCCAACAAAATTTTTCCACACAAACTTTGAAGCAATTGTCCTTACATACAAGACGATCAATTCGGATGCATCCAAATACTTTTGTCTAGTCCATCAGACCTTCGGGTGAAAACTGAGCCAAGAGATTGAGTGACAGGGGTCATCCATAAATTACATTGCACATTGGATGCAAATGTTGAATGCATGCGTTTACACATTGGGACAAATCATGTGTTGCGTTTGTGTGCATGCATGTTGTGATAAGACGACACTCAGGAGATTCAAAACGTACATTATGAACGTAAACCTGAAGAGAGGAACAACTACAAATAAAAGACTGACTGGGGACGACAAGCAACGTGTGACCCGCTTACTTTAAACAATCTGCCATGGTTGTTGTTTTCGAAGGGAAGGACGTCAAAGCAGCCCAGCGGCGGCGTCCGGCTTTCTGCAGCCCGCCGCCGAACCGCGGTGGCCACCTGGCCCGTGAGAGGCAGGCGATCAACGTGCAGGGGGTGGAGGGTTCCGATTCCGACAAGGTCGAAGATGAACTCGGAAAAGACGCGAGTGTTTCATTCCGCGGCGCGTTTTCTTGCACGGCGGAGGAACGCCCTCTCGCTGCATCTGCCGCCGCCTTCGCGAACTGTAGGAATTGTCAGTACTATCGTTTCAACGACAAGTAAACACGCGATTTGCCAGAGCCTTTATTTAATATATTACGGTAAATTGAATTCAGTCTTAATAGATAAACAGAACAAGATTACTTGGCGAGTAATATTTATAATATGCAGAGAACACTGCACTCGATATAGAACAATTTAATGCCAGGGGGGAAAAAAAATCGTATTGATGACTGTTGAATGTATATTGTAATCAACCATAAATATAATTACATTCTTTTTTTCTCCATGATAAATACAGGAAAGGCCCTTTTACATTTCCCTTGTTTTTCGTGGCCAAGGGGCCCTGTGTCCTTATTTGGCATTGGTTGCTCAGCAACCAAACAGGGTGGATGGAGCCTGGTGTCATGGACGTTAAGTGCAGGGTTCCAGATTATTTTTTTTCCTGAAATTTAGGGGTGCACAATATTAAATATTCACATCAATGATATTCACAATATTACTGATGAATTGGCTGCAAAGTGGAATTGAACTTTGTTCATACCAAAAATTATAAAAAACAGTAAAAGAAAAAAAAAAAAACAGCAAATGTACTGGTCGCACAGGTGTGAGTAGATGAAAAATGTACAAGCGCTGTCTAAAATCCCAGAAGCAAATTGTCAACATTTAGAGTCAGTCTGGAACCCTGAAAAAATGTTGGGGACCACCGTTCATATTATAACAACCAACAGTTAAAATTGTTATCATCTATGATGTGAGAAGTGGTGGTGAAGGAGATACAGGTCCCGGGTCAGCGACTCTGCAAAGCAAAACACACACAGAAAAAAATAATATATATATATATCCTTGTTGATTTACACAAAATGTTGTCCTGAGTTCTGAGAATAAGCCAAAATTCCCTACAAAATGACTCCCAAGACAGCTGCTGTGTTCCGAATCACTCAGTCTTCACTCCTGAATCTCTATACTGTACATGGATGTTATATATGGACATTTAGTCCACTAATTTCTATTTTTTAAAATCTCTCTGTTGTGATTAGGGAGTAAGGAATGAGGGAATAATTCCAATCAGAGCAACGGTATGGAAAAAAAAACAAACAAACGTGAAACATACTTGAGTGGGGAAGATTGCCGGAAGTTAGCAGAATTCCTCGCCAGGTCCAGTCCAAGTCTGCAAATACATCAAGGGAGTTGATCAAAAATGTATTTTAAATTCCATCGAACTATGCGTAATGTCGCAGCAGCCTACAATAATGATGAATATACTTTTTAGGAGGAAAAGCTTTGCCTTGTTTTTAACGAACCTTCGGACCTACTATTACAACTACTCTTGGTCACGATAGTGAAACTTGGGGGAGCTGAGGATTTTTTATTTTCTTTTGGTTTGAGTACATTTTGAGAACCGCCGGCACGTGATGAAGAATTTAAAACAATTACCAAGTGTCGAGACAATTCTTCAGTCTCTGCTCCAGATCTTGACCTCTGCGAGAGTTCCGTGTCTGGCCTGGTCATGAAGAGGGATCACTTTCAGTCTGATCCTGGTCCCCATTCCTGTTTCAAGCTCCTGTACTTTTAAATGGAGCGTTCTGGTCCGTCTCCGGAGAATCAATATCCTCGGTCCTGAGACTAGGATGTCCTTCAAAAGCAGTCTGGGAGGACTCCTGGTCAATCTGAGTAGCCAGACCGGGTGCTTAGATAATCTACTGGTCGGGTCTGTGAAGGTCCTGCTATCCGATAGATACAATAGTCCACACAGTGGACGCTTTGGAAGGCAAAAGCAATGTCTTCCAGGACGCTCTTTGACCTTTATATTGTTCCCATTAAAAAATAAATAAATAAAATAAATCACAAGTGAATTTCTGTTATAGACATAATTATATTCTTAACAGTGAATTTCTGTGATAGACATAATTATATTCTTAACAGTCATGTAAGTGACAAACATGAAGATGATGATGATGAAGGGGGAAGTGTCACTCCATGGAAGGTGCGTCCTCTTCCGTAAAGGCTTGAGCCAAGTCGCCTTCCAGCGGATAGTCCTTCCTTGTTCTCTTAACTCCGCTAATCGAAGCTTGAAGCTCACTAACACTACTGCCGCTCCCATAATTGGATTCTTCCTTGCAGAAGATGCTGTCCAAACCCGCTTGCCTCTTGCGACTTTTCAGAATGGCTCGGAAGTGCTCCACCACGTTGCCGTCGAACAGGGCGATGTTCCTCTTCACCACGGCGACGCTCGGGTGCCACTTGGCCACCAGACTCTGCGTCTTGGCCCAGTAGCCCAGCAGCTCCTTGATTTCCGCCGTGGGAATGTTGTCGTTCCAGCTTGCGTCTTCCTCCTCGGAAGATGTGTCCCCGGGAACGCCTTGCTGTTGAATGTCCTGTAGGTGGTTGTTGGAGAGCACCAGGGTGTGCTCTTCCACCAGCTCCTCCACGTCGTCGCTGTCAACCTCCAGGCCCATGAACTTGCCCAGTGACACGATCTCGTCCACCACGTCAGTTTCCAGAGTGGGATCCGGCTCAAAGCCTTCAAAGAACCTGGGCACCATGGAGGCAGGCCACAGCTTCCTCCAGGACAACTGCACCGTCCTCCTGGTGACTTGCTCCCAGGCTTTCTCCAGGATGGTCAAGCAGTGGAGGATGTTGAAGTGGTCCTTCCAAAACTCTCTCAAAGTAAGGTTGGTCTCCATGGTCACTTCAAAGCATCGTTGGAAAAGCGCCTTGGTGTAGAGCTTCTTGAAGTTGGAGATGAGCTGCTGGTCCATGGGCTGGAGCAGAGCTGTGGTGTTAGGTGGCAAAAACTTCACCGTGATGAAGTCGTGCTCGCTGCGCCAGTCTTCTCCCAACCCCGTCGGCTGAACCAGCGCAGCATCCAGGACAAGAAGGGCCTTGAGTGGAAGATTCTTCTCTGTCAGGTATTCCGCCACGCTAGGAGCAAACACTTCCTGGAACCACTCGGTGAAGAACTGTCGCGTGACAAGCACTTTGGGATTGGCCCTCCACATTACGCTCAGCTTGTTTTTCTGCACATTGTTCTTTTTAAAGGCTCTCGGGGTTTCCGAGTGGTACACAAGGAGAGGTTTGACTTTGCAGTCCCCGGTAGCATTAGCACAGAGCAGCAAAGTCAGCCTGTCTTTCATGGGCTTGTGTCCTCGGAGGCTCTTCTCTTCCCGTGTGATGTAAGTCCTCTTGGGCATTTTCTTCCAAAAGAGTCCTGTCTCATCACAGTTGAACACTTGCTGGGGTAGAAAGCCTTCACACCCGACAAATGACTGAAATTCCTCAACAAATTTCTTGGCACCTTCTTTATCTGCGCGAATAGTTTCCCTCTTTCTGACCACGTAGCGGATCCCGCTTCTCTTTTTGAAGTTTTCAAACCAGCCCCTGCTCGCCTTGAAGTCATCTGCGCTGTCCCCGGGGCTGTGGCGAGTCAGGTCGCTGTACAGCTGCCTCGCACGCTCACAAATAATTGGCTCGGACACTTTTTCACCCCTTGCCTGCCTCTCTGTGACCCACTGAAGCAGAAGCTTCTCCACATCTTCCATTCGATAATGCCTCCTGCTTGTAAGCGTTTTAACTCCTTTTGCCACATCGGCAGCTTTGATTGCTTCTTTCTTTTTCAAAATGGTGGATATGGTGGACTTGGCCATATTGTACTGAATAGCCAGGTCGGACACCCGTGTGCCGCTTTCAAATTTGGCGATAAGTTCTTTTTTTAATTCGATGGTCCTCATTATGTTTGTTCGCTTTGGCTTATTATGAACAGAACTCTTCTGGGGTGGCATTTTGAACAAACTATCCATCACAATTGAACGATTACGCACCCCAGCACCCCCCCCAAAAAACTTATTTTACACAACTTCTGCGTTGAAATGACGTCAGCTTCGAGAGCTTCACGATTGGCTCTTCGGAAAATAAAGATGGACGCCTCCGTGCTCAGTCAACACTTGGACATAAACAAACAATACAAAACCTAACATTATCAATAAATAACTAATTACACGCTTTCGAAAAGTAATGACTAATATTAACATAATTAACTGTGCTGAGAGCTCCGCATTTTGTTAACAGATGTTTTGCGTTAGCTCCTGTTAGCCGCTGACGATATAGCACGATGCATAATACACAGCATGTCAACGCAACAATAAAAGCAATTCCAAGATAGCTTTGAGTTAACAACGATGCTGTGATGACTTAACGGGCTAATTAGTTTAACTTACGTTCATAACGCCACCGAGTTCCCCCAAGTACGTATCAAAAGTCATTGTTGTAGTGCCTCCCGCCATCTCATTTTCTGCAGCAAGAAAGGTTCAATTCATGTACGGCTGAACCAGGCATAACTTGTCTCCGTGATCAAATGACTAAAGTGTCTCCATCGTTGCAGCATCGCCTTATTTTTTTCGTCATTGTCTCTTACTTCCTCCGATAGCGCATAATAAACGCAATTGAGGAACATTACCGCCACCCGATGGAAAAAGTGTGTATCGTCAGGGTTTTCTGTCATTTTTTTGTATAGTCTTCCCCCTGTTATTTCACGTTCTGTTTTATATTCCAAATCAACATTATTAATTTTTTTATAAAGACTCCTACAGACGTGAAAAAATGAAATAAATACAAGGTTGAACCATTGGGCATTGTTCAAAGAACACAACATTGCCTATCACCAGCATTGAGGTGGCAGCTTCATGCTCTGAGGCTGATTTTTTTTTTATTCAGATGGAACTGGGATATTTGTCAATAAGCAGGGAATTTAGAATAGGTCGATACAGGAGTCAGGATTCTGCTCGAAAAAAAATCTGGAAAAGCCTCCTTGAACAGCTGAACTTTATTTCTGTATAATCAGAGGTGGTGCCACCATCATGCTTTGAGGCTATTTTTCTTGAGCTGAAACTGGGGCCTTTGTCAAGCTGAAAGGAATTACGAAAAATGACAACCACCAGTCAGAGTTAGCGCAAAACCTCCAGGGGTTTGGCGGAAAACAAAAACGCCAGCAAAAGCTGACTAGAACATCTGAACTTAAATTAGGGTTTATCTAGGGGCACTTCAAATAATGACAGGTGTGTGCTGACTCCCATTTAACATGATTTTGAATGCGATGAGTTATTTGTGAGTACAGCCACATCCCATTATACAGTCCAGTATGAGGGTGTGGACACTTTTGCAACCACATTCTCTCTGTTTGTTATTACTTCGTCTCCCGAAAAGACAGGATTCATTTATTTAATTTTTGACTGAGTTGTACAGGTCAGATTAATGGTGGAGAAAATTTTGAGGTGATTTATTGTGGTCTCATTCCTCACAAAAAAAAAAAAAGCGGACATTTGAACAGGGGTGTGAAGACATATTCTCTTCACGGTAGTCCTCGAATACTATTGGTCGAGTGACAACTGCACATTAATTGAAAACGTACTAGAATGTGAACAGGAGGGATAATCAGCAGGATTGTGTGTTACTCGGCATGTGTCGATACATCTATATAAGTGCGCGTGTTGACAACTCTGCACTGAGCTGCGGAAGGGGGTGGGGGAACGGTGTGGTTGGGTGTGTGGTATGAGTGAACTGGCGAGGGGTAGGGGTGGGGGGGTTAAGGTCACGCTTCTGGCCTAAAAAGGCGAATATCAGCCGCTCTCAGAATAACACAGCCGCCACACAACCATGACATGAATGCGCGCCGGTGCGCTTTGGAACGTTTCACCAAACAAACCGGAATCGAATGCGCATGTGAATGAAAATCGGGTTCAAAACCGGACTCACGCCACGTCGAATTGTAACGGCAGCTGGGGAGGGCGAGGTGACGTCTGTCTCACCCCGATCTAAATCTGTCGGGCCGGAGGGAGGGCTTGCAGTCAGCCTCGCACTCCGAGCACCCTCAACTTAGTTTCCTCCGTCTGTGTCCCCCCCATTGGACTCTGAGCTAGCCGGAACAGCTTTTGGAAGAATTCAAAGTGCTTTTCGATTATTTTTTTTCCTTTCTTCAAATAATTTTAGGATTAACGCCCAAGTAGGATCCAACTCGTTTTCATGGCAACGGAATCTGCCGCCGACACTTTGAATGCACAGCAATGACTGAAGCAGAAGGTAAAAAGTTAGTGCAACGCGTTTGTGTGACAGGATGGGCTGCTTGTATGTGTGTGTGTGTCTGCGTGAAGGGTAGTTAGCATGGACGTAGCTAAAAATATGCTGCTATCATGTATCATCTATTCGTAATGTTGCCATGCTAGTGCATGGCACATTAACACTGGACACTTTTTATTGATTGGCATTGATGGTGTAATTGATTGTCTTTGATGGTGACTATGATGTATTATTTGATTGTGTCTGATTGTTCATTGTGGCGCCGTTCAATAATTTCATTTGATGAGATCTCTCATGGGATCTTTGATTGTGATATGGTTGCTCTGATCGTGTTTTTGATGATTTTTCAGCACACACGAACTTTTCATTGATTGCCATTTGGCGGTGTCATTGATTACGCCTTGGATGTCGTCTTTGATGGCTCATCGTAGGTCGTCAATTTTTTCTTTGGTGTGTCACTGATATACCTTTGTCCCTTTATGTGTGTAATGGTGTCTTTGAGGGTCTCCACCTATGTCACAGACAGTGTCTTCGATCATGTCTTGTGTTCTGCCATTGACGGTGATGCGATGCCTTTGTGGGTCTTTGGCGGCGTCTTATTTTTATTTATGTCTGATGTGTCTGTCTTGGTGGTGTTTTTGATTTTTATTCAAACATATCTTATTTATTTTCCTTTTGTGTACTTTTATTTCTCGAGGTAATAGATTGAGAACAGATTTACATTTGCAATGCCCACCTGGCTGCAGTAGGCAGAGTAAAATAGCAAGAAACTAGAAATAAGTATAAACAAATACGTTTTTCCCAAATTACAAAGTGACATAGACATCACCTATCGTTTTTAATTGCACAGCTATGCTGAACTTTTCACTGATTGGCAATGATGGTATCATATTTGCAACATTTCCAAATCCATACTCTTCCACGCTGACAGCAGCTCAGTCCAGGCAAGTTTGCCAACTAGTGGCCCGGCATGCACATTACACCGAAGACAATTATGGGGCCGAGTTAATAAGGAAATGTTGCGGTTTTGTCGACTTGTGAGGGGATGAGACAAGTCAGGGAAGCAGAGAAGAATGAAAATAGCTGCTGGCCTTAAAAGGACACCTCCAGCATGGATGAATAATCACACCACGGAAGGACAAAGAATGATTCACGGTCAGGTTCAAAGGTTGGAGGGGCGAACGCTTTTTAAAAGGTCCGGAGACACTTTGTAAATTAGGGCAACTTTGGGGGAGGAGACAAAAAAAAAAAAAAAAAAAAAAAAAAGCTGTTCCTGGGTCAACTTTCAAGACATACAAGTGTAAAAAAAAGTCGATAATATTAAAACTTCTTATACTGACTTGTATACAGCTGTGATGACTGAACAGTTTTAGGAATGCCTACAGATTAGTACATTTGTACATATCATTAAATATTCATACCAACTACTACATTTATGATGACTTTAAAAACTAACTGTGTTTGTGGTGTACACTGCTTGCTGGGTTAAAAATCAGAAGTCACATTTTTTTCAATATGCATTTATGTCGAGGCAAAAAAACAATTATTTGTTTTTCTTTCCAAAAAGCTACAATCGCAAACACGTTACCAAAGACGTCCACATACCTTGAGTAGGTTGTTGCGATACGTCGGCGGTGCCACCATATTTGATGTGGCGGATCTGCCTGTGAACTAAAGCAAATAAAGGCACTGAACTTTAGACAGTTAGGAAAACAGACCAAAAAAAACTGTGTTTTTTGTATGATATGAGGATACATACATTTTATTTCATATTCTCAGTTGTTCATTCAACCTTTGCAAGCATAAATGTGGGCCAATTTTACTGTTATTCGTGGAAAAAAAAAACATCACTCCAATGTGCTGTTTGTAAAGATCAAAAATAAAAACAAAATAACACATACTAATGTACGACTGCATACATACATACATTTATGTTACTACTACTAATAATACACTATGGGCAAGATTGTATATTCAACGTACCACTTTCTTCACCCAAGCAATGATTTGATTCGACTTGCCCGTAAATTTAGTGGGGACTCAAATTGACTTGCTTACTTTATACCACGGTAACTTTGGGAATTGCTTGAAACTTGAAGTTGAACATTTGCGACGTACTCATGACTTGAACATTGGCAACTTATTCCTACTTCCTGTTGAACGTTTGTACCGACCAGCGAACATGACCGCAAAATTGGGACTCCCAAAAGTGTCAAAGGATAATGCTTAAAGCTCCAGGATGGTTTCATGTGGCGTCCTTCACATCAAAGTAGAGTAAAAAGTAACAAGGCCTCTTACAAGTGTGTGTCTGTGTTCTGTACTGTGTTGTGTGTGTTATGTCGAGTGCCGCTAAGCCTTGTGAGTCAGCGATGGTTGTGCCAACGCGAGCTGAGCCGAGTCGACAGGTGGCGGGAGAGATCGGCTAACAGCCTCGCTGTCGGTTTGTTAGCCCCCCCCTTGCTCCCTCTATCTTGCTGCTCTTGCCTTTCACACTGATTCAACTAAATGTGTTCAATTCTACATCTATAGACATTAAATATTGTGTCGTTATGAGCACAAAGAGATTAAATATGAGGTCAATATTGTACATTATAGGCGTAAAGACATTTGACAATGTAAAACATAGAGCTGCATGGGCATTTGCATGACATGCTAATAAGGTACAGGAGTTGTCTACAAATGAAGTGTGATAGATGGTTCATTAGTTTTAGACAGATATGTAAACATGTCATATACATTAGAAGTAAACAGACATTGAGATTTCAACTGCCATTTTTGAATTGAGAGTAAGAAGCCAGAATAAAAGAATGACTGCTTGTTAGCATGACAAGCTAACTAGCCAACGCGTAAGCTTCATTGATGGGCTAGAAAAAACAAAAAAAAAACAAATGAGGCTCGTTTTCTCATTTCTTTTTCCTGGAGCAATTTTGACTATTAGAAGGCACATAGATATTTATAAGTTCAGTGATTTCAAGGTATCTTGAACTGCAGTTATGATTAGTCCACATCAAACTGTAGATATCGCAAAATGGAATTAGCGCCATCTCCATTTTCGTTGCTGATATCCGTAATTCCGAAGGAGGATATCAGAAAATGAATTGTTGAGATGTGTGAGGACAAACTTCCATTCATGTGAACAGCAGAAGTGCCACCATTTTTTCTAGCTGCAACGACGTTGATATCTGAAATGACAGTTGTGTATAGCAAGAATATTGCTGCAGAGTTCTGCAATTTTCTTTTTGACTAGGCTTCCTAATATTGATTCCCGTTGAATCCAAAACGTAAAACTGTGTGTCGAGTCTGTCCAGACAACAACTGAGGAGTGTCGACGAACACGTGCTTACCTTGGATGTTTCTCCTCAGTGAGGTCTTCCGCCAGCACCACCACGATGGTCATCGACGACAAGAACGGCGACGCCGGCTCGCCGTCCGCCGGCGGATCCAAGCGGACTTTCGCCGATGACGTTTACTCAACGTTCAGCTCTCCGCTGGCATGGATCCTCGTGACGGCACTCGTGGTCACTTGGTCGTGCGTTTTCGTCATCATGTTCGACTTGGCTGACTACAAAACCATCTCAGGTGACTCCTGATTAAGTTTATCATTTTGTGTGTTTTCAAAACTAAACTTGTGATTTCTCTGCCATTACACGGGGAGTTTTTGAAAACTTTTTGGTTCAAATGCCGCACAATGACTTTGTGTTACTCGCTGGCGTGTTAGCAATAGCCGAGCAGCAGTCAATTCCTTTCTCAGAGGTTTAAATAGAAGATTTTGTAGCCAATGTGACATTGGGTGCTTCTTGTTTTTAATACAATGTGACTTCCTGCGTGTCGTCTTCTCTTTTCTATGGTTGGGCGAGATTCATCAATTTGATCTAATTAATTTGCGTTTGTGTGTCAGGGCTACTTTCACTTTCTGTTTTCTATTCACGAGCATGAAGACAAAGCTACTAGAACAGCTCTTTTCTCCTTCTTGTACTTCCTTGTAAGCAGGTCCCGGCGTCAGGAAGGTTTTAAAGGACTCGGAGCGTCGAGGCAAGATGACCTTCACAGTGACTAACCCCTTCTTCCTGCAGATCCCCCCCACCGCCCCCCCCCTTCCACTAACCTCCTTGAGTAGCTTTCATTTGTGTCGAAAGCCTTTGAGGTATGCAGTAGTGGTTCTTGAGAGTTCAAATGTGACAAAAAGCTCATATTTGAACTTCGGGTGAGCTTGAATAGGCACAAAAAGACAAATCAAGCTCCTCTGAACACAGCTTTTTTTTTCCAGTAGCATCTTTATTTTATTTATCAGTTTGGCATTTTGTTGCGGGAATGCGGTCCGAAATGGAAGCAAGGGGGCGGGATTATACGTGCTGGCCATTTTATAAAGTACACTTGCATTGTCCAATGGTAAGGATGGTGGCTTGTGATATTTTGACTCTCTTGTGTAGCTAAATAAAGCCAGCGGCTTTTTTTTTTTGTATCGGATCGCATTCAACAGTGTACCTAATAAAGTGACGAGTGAGTATGGTAGTATTTCTGGATGCATTCAAATGAAATGAATGCACATCAAACCTGGCCTCTTGTGTTTTTTTTGGATGTATGTCAACGGGAATACCCTCGACATATAGCTTGGTCATTTTTCCATGCGGTTGAAAGGGACGTTGACTAAAAAGCACGTCAAACCTGGCCTCTTGTGGTTTTTTTTGGATGTATGTCAACGGGAATACACTCGACATATAGCTTGGTTATTTTTCCATGCGGTTGAAAGGGACGTTGACTAAAAAAGTAGAAAGCCCTCGAGCCTGTCAATCAAATGCTTACCACATTTCCTTGCAGGAGGCCTCGGCAGGATTGGCTCGGACCCGACCAAGGCTGTAAACGATGTGGTGGATAGAGCCACTAACACGTTCCACGCCATGTTGAAGTTTGCCGCCAGCCTGGTTGCCCCCGAGGAAGATGATGGTAATATTTTTGATGGAGAGTGAGCACTGCCCTTGTCTGTCTCCATTTTACTGATGCTTTTCCTTCTTCTTTAGGAAATCTCTATGCTGTGAGGAAAAAAGGTGAGCGTGAATATTTCACGCAAACACGATCTGCTAGTTACAAAGCAAACTAAAGATGACATCACTGTGGTTGCTGGCTACGCTTTGGCCTCACCGTTAGACCGCGCAGCAGTGTTGTTTTCGTCAACGATTATGAAATTATTTTGTGAACGCTCCTTTTTTTTTCATGACGTTAACGAGACGACGACGGGCTGAACGTGGCTCTTTGATGACTAAAATATGACGAGACCCATGTGAGTTGTTCATGAGACGAGACCGGACGAAACGAAAGACTAAAACCTTTTTGCGTTTTTGTGGCCTAAACCTATCACAAATAGGAATGACTAAAATGCGACTAAAACTAATGAGCATTTTTTGCCCAAAAGAGTAAGACAAAATCTAAAATGGCTGCCAAAAACAACACTCCTGCGCAGCATTATAAACTACGGAAAAGCACAGTTGTGGACGGGGCTGGTTGATTAATCGACTTTAGTGACCAATTGAAGTTTCCTGCTCTGGAAGATTTTCTTTGAAAGTGGCTTCTGTCGATCAAACTGTCTCCTCACTGATGTGCACATTTCAATTTACGGCCATATGACCTCCAGTTGTTAATGTTATGCATGATAGCGTCATGACATATGTACCTATGAACCGTCTCAAAGCGACAACGTGGTTGGAGGAGGTGGAGGAGGAGGAGCGAGTGGAGGTGAATCTTAAGAGGAGAAAAGGTATTTGGTGCTAAATTCGAAGTGCTAACTGTTCTGTGATCGTGTCATTAACTGTGAAGGGTCCATATACCTCCTCTTTCGGCCCAGTAACAATACCAACAATTGTGCTCGACAGACCTAAAACACACTATGGCTTTCTTCTTATGGCTTGTCGCTAACCGCTAACCCGCTAACGTGGTGCAGTGCGCTCAGACTGAATCTGTGTGCTCATTTTTTTGGTCTTCTTTTTGTGTTCCAGGGGAGTTCCTACCATCCCGACGTAAAGGTGCGTGCGTACGCTCGCTTCGTTTTTGAGCTTTTTAGGAAAAAGAAAGCTAAGCCCGAACAATGTTCTCATTTGTCAGCATGATTTTTCTTTAAAGTGTTTCCCCAAAAATGTGTGCTGCTTAAATGAGCAATAATTAAGTCTTAATGAGGAACAAAAAAAAAAAAGGATTTGCATTATTTAAGTATCTAAAAAAAAATCTGGAAAAAGCCTGTTTGCTATCAGGAGAAATAAAGCAAATCTAAAAGGGAGGAAAAACAAAAGTGATTTTTTTCAATAATGTCATTTGCTTTTGACATGAAAAATCGATTACAATCGGAAATTGGATTTTGCCTTAAATTTCTGCCAAATGTCTCCATGGTTGTCGAAGTCACCAAGATGCAAGCGAAGAAGTCACGGCCAGTGGTTGAAGTGGTCCAGGAGGATGAAGAAGAGGAAGAGGAGGATGAGGGGTATGAGGAGGAGGAGGATGATGAGAAGCAGGAAGAGACATCTGACGGGGAAGATGAGGAGGAGGAGGAGGATGATTATGAGGAGGAAGAAGAGGCAGCTGATGCGGAAGATGAGGAGGAGGAGGAGGAGGATGTGGTGGATGAAGGAGTTGATGATGATGAGGAGGAGGGAACTGAATCAGCTGAAGACGAGGTGAAGGAAGAAGAAGAGGAGGAAGAGGAGGAAGATGCAGTCGGTGAAGGAGGTGATGCCAATCAGGAGGAGGAGGAAGAGGATAGAGATGAAGCGGCTGCAGATGAAGTGGACGATGACGAGAAGACGGTGGCTCCTGCTGAAGAGAAGGTGGGGGAGGAAGAGAAGTGGGAGGGAGCTAAAGCCACTGTAGAGAGGAAGCAAGAAGAAGAAGAGGAGGAAGAGGAGCAGGAAGTCACTGCTACCGCTGAAGATGAAGCCTCCGAACCTGAAGATGAAGAGGGGGAGGCGATGGCTGCTCAGGATGAAGATGAGGCCGCCACACCTGAGACTGATGAAGATGACGAAGAGGAGGAGGAGGCATTGGCTGCCGAGGATGAAGATGAAGCGGATGAGGCCACAACACCTGATATTGATGAAGATGATGACACCACAGAGGATGACGAAAGAGAAGGCACGGCCGATGAAGTTAAGGAGGGGGAGGAGGAGGACAGCGATGAAGATATCGAAAAGGATGATGAAGACGAGGCCTTGGCTGACTCCTCAGATCCTTTGTTTCCTTCCAGTGAGGAAGACGAAGATGACCACCTTGCTTCTGTCGCCGATGAAGATGAATCAGAGCGCACCGGTGACCACAAACCCGACCGTGTCACCGGTGACGACGACGACAATGAGGAAGCAATCCAGGACGAAGACCTCGGCCGCCTTGATTTCGGCCAATCGGAGGGCTTCGACGACCACAAACCCGATGATGTCACAGATGACGAGGAGCAGGAAGCTGAAGGAATTGCACTGCCTACCTTGGATGAAGACGACGAGGACGATGAGGATGCCGCATTACCCCCAATGACCTTTGGTGAGGAAGATGAGCTCGAAGATGACAGCGCATCAGAGCCTCATCAGGATGACGATGAGGAAGACGACGATGAGGAGGTTGAAGATAACTCACTGTCAGGTATAGTTGACATTCGCGTTCCGCTCCATCTATATCTATTTATCTCCCCATCTATTTACCTTCCAGTCGCCGTTCCGCACGTGGCTGTGGAGGAGCTCAGCCCCCACAAAGCAGAAGAAGAGGAGAAGGATGATGACGAAGAGGAGAAGGTGACAAAGGCAGAAGCTAAAGCGCCTGCAGGTCAGTGAGGAGACGTGGCGACAAGTATGATACCTTGAATTGGCATATAGACTCGAAAAATGGCTGGCTTGTCTTTCTGACCCACTCATTGGGTGGATTTTGAGGACATTGGGTTACTTTTACCCAAGGTTGGCTTTATTATTCTTGGCACAACGGATTGTCGGTGTGACAGTTAGCGTCATTTCTTACCACACCTCCACTGGTAGCTCTAACTGGGTCGTTTTTAACCTTTGTTAAGACTTAACCCAACATACCAGGTATAAATAACCCAGCATTGGCTCAGTCCTTTTTGGACCCAGTGCTGGGTTAGCTATTTAATTCCACATCGGTTACTTTTCACCCAGTAGTTTTAAGAGTGTGACTTATTTCTCCTCTGCTGTAGTTCCACCGTGTCCCTGCACAAGCTCAGCGAAGACGCGAGTGTCTGGCGTGACAAGTGCCAAGAAGAAAGGTTGGTCCACGAGTCACCCAAAATGAGTCCTTTGCCCACTTTTGGGGGCTAACTGAGAACCACAAGTTGACGTGGAATGATAATGATGATGATGATGATGATGCAACCGTGTTGTTCTGCTTTTTTTCCATGTCAAGAATCGAAACCAGTGAAGATCACAGAAAAACCAAAAAGAACAGGTAATTATTTTTTTTTTTGCTTTTATTTTATTTTTTTAATTCTGAATATTACAGTATTTTTTATGGGGGAATAATTTTTATTTTATTTTATTTGCTTTTGTTTTATTTGTTTTTTTAAAACTCTGAATATTACTGTATTTGTTTTTTTTTGGGGAGGTATTATTCTGAATAATGAAAATTTTTATTGCTGTGCCTTTTAATTCATTTGAATTGAGTTGAACTGAATCTACGTCGTCCTCCGGGGTCAAGAACAGTCAATATGACAAGTGATTTCGACTATCTATAGCAGAATGTAACTTACGTGTGACTTCGCAGCTTGTTGTTTCGATGTTGATGACGTGTCAATCATGCGCGGGTTTGCTTCGCAGCTCTTCCCAGGATTGCCAGCCTGGAGCCCAAAATGAGACGGATCAGGAGGATTCCGACTCTTCTCAAAAGTATGTGGAGATGATACGCAGAGGACAGCTTTCGATGTGCTGTTTCTGGTCTGATTCCATTTGTTCTTTGTCCTGAAAAAGCCAAGAAAGAAGAAAAGAGCAAAAAGCTCAAAAGAGGTAAACCAATCGTAGATCGGGTTTAAGAAGATCGGATTTAAACTGTCTCAATGACAAACGATGCCGTAGATCGTAAATTAGGTGTAGAAAAAAATGAACCTGTTGATGTTCCTATGTGTTCATTAGAAGCACCTGCTGAGAAGGAGAGCCCAAAACCAGCACAAGTGCCCGAACCAGTGCAAGACGGTACCTTGGCACTTCATACAATAATAGTACATAATGTACATTATATACAAGTACAGTACTATAACGATGATATCTATTTGAACATAGAGACCCCGTCTTTTTAAAAAGCTTTCAACTAGAGCGGCTGATGCTATGTTATGCTAGGCTAATTGTCGAGCTATTTCTCCACACGGTATAATTATTCATTTGGTGGTTCTGTTGCGTCCAGTTGGTGCTTGCAGACCGGCACCGGTCTACTGTCCCTCCCCGCCCGGCTGGTATGGTAAGTGTTGCAACAACTGAAATTCTCACAACCGGATCTACGCTACAGGAGTGGATCTATGTTCCCTTCCCCTCCAAATATTTTGTCTCACAGTTCATCAGATCATGACCGACACCCCGTACCCGCCTCCGACCGGCTCAGGTAACCCCCCTTGACTTCCAGTTCCCTTTACGGCACACTACTAACGCGACTTGAGCTCTTTATTTTTATTTTCCAGGTTCTGCTGCTCCGGTTCTGACCGCTCATCCCATCCACTCGCCGCCGCTTTACCATGCGCACCCGATGATGCCGCCACTCTACCCCCACTACCAGCACTATGCTCAGCTCGTGCCACCTGCCATGCAGGCGCCACCCGAACCAGTCCAGACCGGTACAGCAAGCAGAACCAGTCCAACCAGCTGAACCGGTCCAGCTGGTGGAAACCGTCAGATCTAAAACCACAGAACAAGCACCGCCCACTCAGCCCGAAGTCAAGAAAGGTAAGTCAGGGTACGAGCAATTTAATTTAAAGACCCTGGGGAATGTCACATGTCAAATGTTTCCATCAAGAAGAGAAAGCAGAACTGGAAGCAAAAGCTGAATCCGAGGTTGACGAAGAAGATGTGATGGTATCATCTGCAAAGAAAGGTCTGACACTCTTCTCACTTGCCTCTTCTTGTTTTAATTCTGATTTTCATGTTCCAATTATCATGTTTATTTATTCCAGAAGCCAAGAAGAAAAAGATAACGAGGACTGAAGATGACAAAGGTCCATCACCACTTTGACATTGGCTGAGAGGTTTTGCGGCCACTTAATTCGGTGCATGTCTAACCAACTTCCACTGCTTGTTGTCTATTGCAGATGATGGCGGGCTCAAAAAAGACAAAACCAAAGCTGGGTCTGCAAAGACAGGTGGGTAATTAAAGATGATCCTTCGGTGTTCCCATCGTTGGAAAAGTTACCTCCAAAAGTAAGACAGCAGTAGAATATTATAGCCTAGCCTTCTGAGGTATGACATTTAATTTTAATCCACTGACGGCCTTCAACAAGGAGGCTGTGGACAAGAATAGCGAAAGTGTCGAGTGTGGGTGAAGGACGGAGGCAGTTGATGTTACAGGGGTGAAAGTATGCTGAGCGGGTTATGAGTTTTTTTTTAACCTTTATTTACCCACATAAGGCAACTGAAAACAGATTCTCATTTGCAATGTCAGCCTGGCAATACTTTTTTTTGAGAGTGAAATGAGACTGTTCTGTCAATTAAGGAGAGGGAAAAAGGTAGCAGGTGTTAGGTTTGTTCACAATTCGCAAAGAAAATATGCGGAAAATATTGACAATGGAAAGATGTTAAATGAGGAACAGAAGAGGCTCAGGGGCAGAGCCCTGGGGTACACCAGTGGTAACAAGGGAAGGATAGAGCAGGGTATGAGGTGGTCTTAAAGACTGTGCTTCAGTCAGGTAGGAGAAAAAAATTCTTACAGTCATGTAAAAAGGGTATTTATGAATTAAAAGTGGGTGTTTAACGATCGTATTGTTTTTTTTTTGTCTTTTTCTTTCCATTCAGCTGTAAAAGCGCAAAGCAAGAGTGCTGCAAATCCCCCAAAGAGAGGTAACTGTTCTTAAGATTCTGGTTGCCATGGTGACCATGTCACTTTGTACCCATCAGGATTCTGTCTTTACCTTAGAAGCCACAGAGGCACGGCGGAAGAGAAGCGCCACATCTGCTTCAAAGACAGGTCCCTCATTGGCTCTCGGTCTTGTGATTTGACGTCATCGCGGCAACAGATTTATTTATTTTTTTGGGCCACTCTTACTGTAGATGATGTCAAGGGCAAAAGCAGGATTTCCTCCCCTACAGCCAAAAGAGGTAAAAGTAGCGATGCTTGACACTTAAATGAAGCGTGGTTTTAACATATTGAGCGGACACAACTGATTTGAAATGTTCGCCTCACAGCAGGTCCAAGTCAAAGTCCCAAGACAGCAGAAGCACCACTTCAGCCAAGCAGGCTGAGGGGCGGACTGCCGGACACGTTGACGACAAATGTGACAGACAGGCATGACAAATCTTCAACGTCGCAAACACGTGAGGCTGCCATCGTAAAAGACAAAATGGCTGCTTGGGCGCAGACTGATGATTGACACGTGTGATTGCTTTCTTGTTCCTTTGTCATCAGCCAAGACAAGAACAATGTTACTGAAAAGTAAGTTAAATACATGTGAAATTCGTGATAGTTCATTTCATTTCACAAAATGAAGAATGAAAATAAGTTATCTCCATATTTTACATTCACATTTGAACTTGACCAGAAAAAGTTTGCTCACTCCTGTTTCATATCGGAAAAGACAACATTTCATTTCAAACACTTTATTATCCCACCACTGATTTTATTCTACACTCTTGCTTGTTTATTTGCAATTTAAATTAAATTAGGGAGATGTTTAAAATCGACAGAGACCGCAATTTTTTTTTTCCCTCATCAACAGGCAAAGCCAATCGGGCTGAGGAAAAGGAAAGGTCTTTGAAGGACACTATAGGTTAGCAACAATGTTGAATTAAATGACATTTCGGGCACTTTATGATTCACATTTGTCTTTTGTTTTGTATTTCAGACAGAAAAGATAAAGAACCACAACAAGCCAGTAAGTGTGGAAGCCCTCTATTACCTCACAATGTCCACTCGTGTGACCAGTGAGACTTTTTTCCCCTCCTCAATATTGCGATTAAATACTGTACATGGTCATTTTTTTCCCAAGGTCCTCCCATGTATTTTGTTTTTTGACTTCCACAATCAAATTAATCTGTACTACAATAAACAAGATCGGAATTAAATCAGTTGTTCAGCCCGAGGAGAAAGTAAGCTAAAGTTGTGCAAATAAAGTTTCCCTCCACCCTAATATTTATTAATGATTTGGAAATAACTATTAATCAGTGCAAATGCTAACAAGAAGGCAACAGCTTTGACCCCAACGCACAAAAAGTACTCAAAAGGATTTCATGTTCATGTTTTTTGAAAAAATAAAAAATAAACGTGTTTTAATGCTTGTTGTCATCAGAGGGAGGAAAAAGAGCTTCCCATAGAGCCTGAGGTATTTGCTTTGTGTCTAATTGTCTTTTTTTTCTTTTTCCTCTCATCAGCACAATATGAAGATGAGCTGTAACAATTTGACTTCTTTTAGCAACGTAACACTCCCAAATATTTTCTTCTTCTTCTTCTTGAGTCTTTTTTTTTTTTTTCCCGTAGCAACGCTCCCTCTTCCTGAGTGTTTCCACACATTTGTTACCATACATGCCCCTCTCATCAAACACCTCCAAGGCTGGGGTGGGCAAATTTTAGTGCTCATGGGCCACATTTGACTTTTAGATCCAAAAGGTGGGCTTGGACATTTGTGGTGACGATATGAGGTTAAAAGATAAATAATAAAGTCAAATGTGTGCGAATAAATCAGAAGAGTCTATTTTCAAAACAAAATCATTGTCAACAATTGCGGATTTAATAAAATACTTTTTTTTCCTGACAAATGGCCTGGTCCATCTTCTGCATTTTCGAAATCAGATATGGCCCCCGGAGTCCAAAAGTTTGTCGTTGTATTTGCACTAATTTTATGACTTGACATTTTGTCTTTTAAAAGCTTTGCCGCATGCTCAAATCACAACACGCTCACATCTTCCTTCATGTCTGACTTCTTGTTCGCGTGTAGCATCGTAGTTCAGTCTGTTGTATTGTGTGTGCCTCCCGTAGAAAAGACAGACGATCAAACTGAAGAAAAGAAGAAATCAGGTCAGTTCAATACAGTGAACCACCGTTCATTTCCTGTTTTTTTTTTTTTTTTTTTTTTTGTCAGGCCAAAGCATTTTTTTTTTTTTTTTTTTTCTGTGGTGGCATCTCGGTGCCAAGAAGCTATGTTAAAGTGAGTTGAGAAGTTTCATTTAGACATTGTAGTGCTTTGTTGCCATCTAGTGGCATCTATATGCAATTATAAATCTTTTGGACATCCAATTACTCATGGGTGGTGGGGTGGATATTCCCAAGAGCAGGGGAACAGTACATTCAATATAATGACAGTTTACCATCCTCGCCACCGGAGGGCACTGTAAACCCACAATCAGACCGTTTTTCTCCCTCACTTCCTGTTTTTGCTTTCTAAATAAACGTTCCCCTGTGTGTGTTTTCAGGTCAAAGATACTTCCAGTGTGTTTATGTACCCGGAAAAAATGCACAGTACCCCTTGCGACCCTTCAGCCCAGCGATGCCACCTGCCCTCAAGTCCCTACTGGAGCAGCAGAGGGCGCCAAAAACGTCGGGGCAGTAGGGCAGCTACTATCGCAACCTACCAAGACGTCGCACAAGGGGACTTGTTTCCATGCAGAACAACACGGACTGAAATATTGACATGTATTTATTTATTTTTTTTACCAACAAGGCTGAGCTCCTGGGGTCTGTTACTCAAAAAATAAATAAATAAATATATATATATATATATATATATATATATATAAAAACACAAATGAGGCAAATTTGACCCCGTTCAATGTTTAGCCTCCCTAAAGATATGGTTTACATCTTCTTTTGCTTCATTGTTCACGTTTGCTGATTTGATGAGGACAACAAAATTAACATGGTGACATGTTAGAAATGTCTTTTACATGTTTCATGTATCAGTGTCCTTTTGAAAATATCAGTAGAGTATTTTTCACACATTTGCTGTCTCTGTTGGGGCGGGGGTGATATTGAGGTCACTAAAACATATCATCTAATGTTATTAAAAAACTTTAACACAAACATGAGTGTAGTAGTGTGAGAAATAAATCTAGTTTACATGTCACTTGACCGCTTCTCAATCATTTGTTGTGCTGTTTGCTAGCTTTTTGCTGAAAATGACTTTCGCAAAGGCTTTTTTTCTCAGTGAAGGGCTGTCACATCTATTGGACTACAGAATTGACATTTGCGTCCGATAAAAAGGCATCCTCCTCTGATGACAATGATTACCTCAGAGTTGGAACCTCAGTCCACCCCACTCTAACAGTTAGTTCACTACTTTCCCAAAATTGGAATTGTTGTCCATTCACCCCACTTGAACTGCAGGCTGGATTTATATAATCAAAATGGTTGCTGATATGCTGTCCAAGATGTCAAGTCATCTTTTGAGCTTATATATATATATATAAAAACACAAATACAACTGAAGGGAAATCTAGCTACAGTACTAATAGTTATTTTCTTTATGGGGCTGCATCACTTGTTGCTAGGCACAATTTATATGACACAAATGTCTAAAAAAATTGTTTCGACATGTGGCAGACAACCAAAATATCCCGCAGAGTAGATCAAGGACAGGGAGGGCTGGCATATACAAAAATATGGGAAATTTTGAATGCATTCGCAAAATAAATAAATAAATAGATCACATTTGAAATTTACTTTCAAACATAATTACCTGAAGTCATTTTCTCGAGTCATGTAACACATTTGTTGCTAGGCGTTATTCAAAGGGTGCAAATACCTCATTTTGAAAGCATGAAAATCTGAAGCATAATAATCTTGAAAGCACACTCCAAAACGAATTGTAAGGAAAGTTTTCCCCTCCAACTGCAGCACCATCTGCTGGATCTGATGGGGCACTGCACCATTTGACCCAAATCCAAAACATTATACTTCAATGTAGTGGTTCACTCTTTATTTAAACCACTTTTTTAATCTTAACAATTGTGTCTAAATGTTAGCATGTCAAACCCCAGGAGCTCCGCCTCTTTTCACACCTGTACCTTTGCCTCTGAACACACGCTGGCAATGCTAATGATAGCTGGTACTTGAGAAAACGTGGTCACGATCGAACATTCATCGCAGTCCACATACATTACATCTCAGCTAATTCGCTAAAATGTTACCTTAGCTACTTTTCAGTTATCTGAGGTTCAAGCGAAATATTGCATTAGTATCATTAGCATCCTGCGTGTGGAGACAGAAAGTGTGCGTTACCGCGACCAACTCCGGAGACCGATCGTGTTTATCAGTCGGGGCGATCGATGACCTCATTTCTTCAACCGTACATCAAAGCAGTACGTGCGGCCATCTGTGCTACAAAGCTAGCGTTAAGCGTTGCACATGTTGGCTATCGATGTCTTACTTGATGATGAACGAAAGAAAGCGAGTCTTCCCAGACTCCATTCTGAAATCAGATTGGGTTAAAAAAAAAAAAAATTCAGTGACCTCATTGTGTTGGCACTTAGCATACGTTAGCATACGTTGCTACGGCTGATACCACCGTTGCGCAAGGTCCGAGTCATGTAGTTCAGAGCTGAATTAGCCTCAGCTTTCTGAGTCTTAAGACGTGCGTGGACTTGATGACAAAAAAAAAAAAAAAAACTTGACAATTCAAATTTATCAATTAGCATGTTACTATCTTTTATCATTCGGCTCTACTTTATCAGCAATGAGAGAGTTTGGTAAATGTGCCGAAAGGGTTTTTATTGTATTTACATTATCAAGGTTAGTATTAGCGCCAGCTAAATAAATGCTACATGCTAGTTGTTGCATTTTTGTGGAAACCAATTTGGGATGAAGTTATAACCTTTATTGAGTTAGCATGGAGCTAACTAGCATGAGTTAAACACTCAGCCGCTCAGCTAACAAGCTAGGTAGCAGGTTTGTAGTTGTGCTGCTTCATGTTGTTTGTAGGTCACAAAAGGTTTTGGGAATTTGAGGGCTGTCCTGTCAACATGGTTCCACATTTGATCTATGAATTATTATTATTATTATTATTGACAGTAAGGTTGGAGCCCGTGACGTGTGAATTCAGATGTGAATACTTTTTGCTTTTATTTAATTTCAAGAGTTTATACAAGTTTTGAGAGGAACCAGGTTGTTGCACAAAGTTATGTTCCTTAAATATGACTCACAATCATCACAATTTAGTACACCTAACAATGTTGGTCAATTTTCATGAGTAACAAAAAGAGGCATTGAATGTTCATATTACAAAATAAACTAACACGGTTGTTTTTTTTTTTTTTTTGCCACTTATTCACTGAAAAACAAGATCGGTGATGAATTTTAATAAAATCATATTTGAATTCAAAACCATATTTGGGTGAGTTATCACATCATTCATATAGAAATTACTGGCTATGTATTTATGAAGCAGGTTTGTTGTCATTATTAAGTGCAATACAGTGATCGCCATTTCAAAAAAAATTAATTAATTAAAAAATTAAAATGGAGGCAGTGTGTGGCAAATTGCGTCAACCTTTATTTGTGCATGTCAGCAAAATGGAGGCCATTTTTTCCAACACAATCAAACGTGGCACCAACGTTTCCGCACCGAACGTCGCTTTGCTTTGATCCGAGGTGAAATCGCGTGTAGTTGTGAATGCAAATGTGGCCCTGCGACTGGCCGGCGATCAGCTCAGGGTGTACCCGAATTCTCGCTCAGTCGCCTGGGAGAAGCTCCAACTTATTTGCGACCTCAGCGAGCACAAGCAGGCGGACAAAATAAAGTGTCATTCGAAATCCGTGAAGCTCAAACACTTCGGGATGATTAAAAAATAAATACAGGTTTGTTGACTTTGGCGGAGCTAAACAAACATAGTCAGTGTAGAATCTGAATAATAATCATAATAAGAACACTCAAATGGCCACATGCAGCTTTTACATCATCATCAATACAAAATCATATTTGACACACAGTGAATCATAACTGCAAATAGCTCATAATGACGTAAATATCACTATGAAAGTTGGTCCCTGCCGGCCACTTTATTAGGTACACTGTCAGGTGACATCCAATACAAAAATATTAACGCTGACTTTTGATTGACACTTTCAGAGAGCTATTCATGAAACAATAATATCCTATTGTTATGCTTGCAAAACTACACTATTATACATTCCAAATATTATTATTATTTTTTTTACTGATGTCAATCACAAGTGAGCATTATCATCTCTGTCAAGACTACTAAAAGTCAAATACATGTACAAGAGTGTGAAATATGCTTTGCTCATGTTTATTCACAATCACAATCACGATTATTTCCGGTGCATGTGGAAGACATGAAAAAAAATTTAAAAACCTAAATAAATCAAAGTCAAACAAAATCATTCCAGGTTTAGGCTGGATTGCCCCTCTTCCCGGCTCCCGTATTATTTTTTTATTCTACAGCAACAAAGCGACCCATTTATGAAGAACAAAATAGCTGCCTACGATGCTGGTTTGTTGCAGCAAATGTGAGAAAAAAAAACAACAAAATCTTCACACGACTGTCACCGGTCAACTTCACGGAGAACATTCAAAACGCTGAAATATTCCAATAGTCGTTGTTACCTTTCTTAAAAGAAACAAATGCTTGTGTCAAATACTGCACATAAATTATAGTCACTGAGAGGTGATCAAGTGTTTGCATTTGTGATAAAAGCGTGTTTCCTGTCGTTCCTGACATATATTTTTGAAAGTTTTCAATACTGCGTTAAATGTGAGACACACACACACACACACACACACACACACACACACACACACACACACACACACAATAATAATAATTTCAAAAAAAAAAAAAAGGAAATCTGCTTAAGAAAATGTGGAATACTGAAAAATGTGGGTATGATAGGAAGGTGAAAATAGTTCCCAACATGCGCTGAATAGGTTGAGCAGTTTCAAGTTGCAATGATTTGAATGTAGCAATCATAAAATACTGTTCTCAAAATATTCTAAATCATTGTTGTTAATCTCCGGTCCTGGTAACCTAACTCGAAGTTAACTCCTGACGCTTGCATTAGTTGAATTTAAAGAAGAGAGTGTAAAACGTGGTAGAACTAAAACTCTAAATTCAGATGTTTGCCATGTGATGTATATTAAAGAAAACGCTTAATTGTCTGCTAGTAACAACACTCGACTGATAAAACTGCCAAACTGAACAGGTACTGCAAGGCATAGGTCCCACCCCCCCCCCAGATTAAAACCACAAAGGGAACAGAAATACAATATTCATGATGTACAATGAGTGCGTACTATGTCTGAGCTAAATTTATTTAAATTTCTTTTCGGTACATTGGCCACCATTTGAGCATTGGTTTAGTTCAGATTGAAATGACGGTCATCTCCCCGTCCGCCACTGACGTAACGATCCGGAACGCCACCGCGATAAATGAAATTCGTGACATCGGGGGTATGTTATTTTAGCATTTAAGGAACGATACAAAAACATGTCAACACTGATAATATATTAATAGAGAGCAAGGTGAATGAATAACACAAAAAAAAACATTGTACAAACAATTTTAAAAATGCGTACTCACACCAGCAAAGGACGACGACGACGACGATGATGATGAAGCTGCCGTAAAGCGGTACATTCCCGTTTAAAAGCTGAAAAAAAAGGAAAACACTGTTGAAAGTGTTCCGCTAGCAAAGCTGCGCGGTAAGATGTTGGTCACATCACTTCCTAGATGGTTGCTTTTTTTCTTTTTCGTTTAGTTTCAAACTCCATCAACGCTGTGTTGAAACTGCAGTGTACGGACCCCCATGTCTCCGCGCACGTTCCCCAACGCGGAAGTGATGAGCAACTCCAGCAGCGCGCGATGAGGCTACCGACAAGAAAACAGCCAATCAGCGGTTGAAAAAATAATAGCGACGCTCTGATTGGATGAATTAGAAATTATGATATTTTATCGTGACACGTGCGGGAAATTGCTCAAATGGCGAATATAAAAATAATCAAATTTAGGAAATAAATTGAAAAAAAAAAACAGTACTGTGAACCCGTGATGGATGGAATTTTACTGTATATAAAATTTCCATACAATTTCACCAGGATGCTTATGACGTTGGAAACTGGATGGATAGATGGCGTGATGTTTACGAAGTACGAGGAGGTACTAGATTACAAATGTGTTTATTCAGAATTTTACATTAGACGCTATTTAGGATTGTTTGCTGAGCTATCTTATCTTAACGTTGCTAGTGTTCTATGGTACCTCCATTTAGAGTTTAAATTTGGATTAAAACAAAAAAAAAACTAATGAGATGGGGTACATATGTACAATATTTCAGGCATATATTTGGACTTTTTTGCTTAACTATGTTAGCATTATATAGCTAGCATGTGCTGCGGCATGTATGCTAGCATTTTAGACTAGATTAGAACCACTAAGATGGTTATGATGTACAAGTAGTGTGTTCTACGTTTTAGTATCACAGGACAGAAGAAAACAGAAGAAAAACATACTTTCAGTCACTTGGATCATGATTAGTTTGAATAATACTTATTCTGTGAATGACTTAGCCGTGAATTATTATTGATTTAAACACTGATTTCCTGCTCACATATTTGGGTCATGTGACGTTTTCTGCTTGAGGTCATTGTTGTTGGAAATCAAAAAGGAGGTTGATGTTACGCGAGATGTTGATCAGTAATAAATCAAGCTTTGTCATATGTTTTTTTTTTCCATAAAGGGAGGTTTGCTGGTCTGTCTCCACGTCCGTCTTGCTCATTCATAAAATCCTGGTACAAAGACGTCGGAAAAGCTTGCATCCCAATTTCCATTTGTCCCATAACTTGCGTCGTCATTTGGGCGCAGGAATCATTTGAAGACCATCACTCAGAAGTCCGAATTGGACTTTTGTGGACTTGGCACTTTACAAAAAATACGGAAGTCCACCAAGGAAGTTAGATGTGGAGTAAACCTCTCTCAGGAATCCACAGAGAGATGTTCGCAGAGGATTTTCCAAGAATTTCCAGAAGGTCTGGTTTTTGTTCTTTGTTTTTAGTCCAGCGAGAGCAGCGGCTGCATGTTGTCTTCATCACATTTGGCCTTGTCAGGTCGCTTTAAGATGCCGGGATCCACCACTGACTGGGATCTGGAAGGTTAGCAACATGCTATCATGTTAGCATTCAAGTAATTTTTTGCTTTTCCTGTTTTTTTTTGGTTTTTTTTGTGCCAGTCTATGTCACCTTTTCATGGTTTGCGGCGAGAGGTTTTTGTCCACATCTCTGTGTAGGTCCTGGACAGAAAACGCATGAGCATCCGGTCCTCCGTCCGTTCCCACATCTGGTTCCGCATCTTCGTCATAGGCGTGCTCCAGCAGGGCCCTGGCCCAGGTGCCCATGTCGTACGGCGGCATCATCCCGCCCAGCTCTGACGGCAAGATCTCCGGATGCAGCAGCTGATGGAGGCTGGTCAGGTTGTTGCCGTGCATGAAGATCTACGCTCAAAACAACAGCCCAAATCCATTTAGCAAGGCTCCCTAGCAAAAATTTACAAATAGTCGACGCTACCCCTTCCCTAAAAACGTTCTATTTTTATCTGACGCATATTTTTAGGCCATTCCACAAAACTAGAAACCACTTCATCGATCCACGGCAGGATTTACTCACCCGCTTCCTGGTCTTCTCCTTGAGGAAGGGCCTGATGACGGTATAGAGGGCGTGGATGTACCATGGCTGGTTCACAAAGTGGATTCCTCCAAAGCGGGCGGGAAAACTGTCCTGTCGCACCAGTGGGAAACACACAAAAAAAAAACAGGAGGCGTTTACTTCACCCTTTCATCCACCCCTGTGGCTCTCTCTCTTCGGCGCTCTCAATATTGCTTCTCTCTCAACACCATCATCTTGCTCTGTCTCAATGTCTGCCACGCTGTTATTCTTCCTAATGATGCCAAAAATAGGACGACCTGTACTTTTTCCTTTTCGCTTTGAACTCGAAGCAAAAAAAAAAAAAAAAGCAACGGAGAGGCAACCGACTCTATGATTATTATTTTTTTTCCTCTTCAATAACTCACCACACCCCCTCTGATACTCTCTAATTTTGTATGCCAGCATGAAAGGGGGCTAACGTTTGGAGCACTAACAACGGACGTTATGGCATCGGAACAACAGGAAGGTTGGACGTAGCCGCTTCCCGTCACGTTAAGAAATGACTTGAATTTGCATTGACGCTCGATTCGATTAAGAGATGTCATCTGAAGGTCATGAGGAAATGATCGCTGCTACTTTCTACTTTCTGAGATGACGTTCGGAAGGACAACGTCAAGATGGAGACAACTGGTGCTTTGTCGGCTTCTCCCAGAATTTACTCGTGTGAACCAGACGCCACTGAGAAACTCTACGAAATGAAGATAACACACTATTTGGACTCAATTTAGACAATTTGATGGAACATATCTGTTTGCAAATGAAGGTCGGTGTTATGGAAAGTGTTTCTTGCTGGCCCTGCGAAAGAAGTGGACGGGTTGGCCTCAAGGAGGAAGACTCCACTTTGTTTGCTGAGTCACCTGCCGTGCGGACACATGCAAACAGCTCACGGCGGCACAAAGTGACTCACGTGGGTCGACACACAAAAGCATGTAAAAAAAAAAAAAAAAAATCAGAATAAATAAAAAAAAAAATACACATACTCAACAACGATAGACGATGTAAACGTCTTTAAAGATCGGGACTTGCCTGGATACTTCTGCTTGCAACCAGCCATTCAAATTCTTGTCAACAATCGTTTGGATGTGTAAGGTCCAAAGGACATTTCACTTTTTTATGAATATACTGGATCACAAATCTGTTTATGGGGATCTTTGCTTCAGGTCAAAGCTTGACAAGAATCCAAGGTGACAACATTCAGGAAAGTCTCTCCACGAGCACAACACAACCAGGTTAAGAACTTCTGACCGAATAGCAAGTCAGAAGGCGGAGTTGGTCGCAACAGAAAATCAAAACCTTGAGTTCATTCACCGCCGCGGGCGTTCTGACGTTGACCCATTCCATCGCACGGAACAGAAACGTACATTGTTGACCTGATTTTTTTTTTCTCGAAGTCCAGGCTGGCTTTTATTTTAAAGCCATTTAGTAAAAAGCAAACTAAAGCAGCTCTTTTCCCCGCAGGCTGCACTTTAACCCTCTCATGCATCCTGTAACCTGATTACATCATGACATGTCCACTGTAGTAACCGCTGTCCCTGAAAGGGTTAACTCCACACAAAAAATGTGCTCTGAGGGGTTTTTTTTGTTGTTGTTGTTTGTTTTTTTGGCTGCAAGACATTTTTGTTCATCTTTGAATTTGATGACAAGCGACAGTTGGCTGTCCTACGATTAAACATACACCAAGCCACCTGCGTCTCATCACTTCATCCCGAACCGTTACCCGCTGCCGTCCTTTTGTGCTACATTACTCTCTCCGAGTAATCCACATCCTTGCACTATATCGTCAACCCTTCGTGCAGCCCTGTCCTCGTCTAACCTGTCCTGCTAGACCGGGGGTGGGCAACACGCGGCTCCAGAGCCGCATGCGGCTCTTTAGCGACATCTAGTGGCTCCCTGGAGCTTTATAAAAAATGTTTGAAAATGCAAAAAGATTTTGATATAGGCTAATATAGCTCAAATTGATATAGATACATGTTGTAGCTCCGAAAAAGGAGACCCGTGGTGTTGTTCTTTTAAAACGTACACTTTATTTATGCTTTTAACAGACTCGACAAACACAGACAAGTCTGCGTCCGACGCCGTGCCTTCACTCTTCTCGTTCAACTCGAGAGGCGTTCAAAGACAGCCTCCGAAAAACGGAAATTCATGATGACTTCACTGACACTAAGAAAAGCGAAAACAATGCACCAAAACAAAAAAATCAAGCGAGGAAATCACAAAATAAATTCTATGGGGGTGTTTGTGAACACACAACAAAGGAATGAATAACAAACAATTCTGAGACAGTCCAGTCTCCTACATACATACAGCATGTGTTTCCTTCATTGTAAGTTTTATAGAAGGCTTTTATTTTTTTGCGGCTCCAGACCTATTTGTTTTTTGTTTTTGTTTTTTTTGTCCTATATGGCTCTTTCAACATTTTGGGTTGCCGACCCCTGTGCTAGACACCTGTTCACACCGTCTGAGAGCTCCGTACACCTCTGTCTCATTCGTCTCATCATTTTTTGCAGTTCATATACACGAGTTTTCTCAGTGTCCCACCCACCTGTGTCTTATTTGGGCCCTCCGCCTGTCTCTTGTTAGCCTAACTCGCCGCTCTTCAACCTCTCCCGTTGTTCCACTCATCCGTGCCTGGACAGCTTGTCCTGTTTTTTGTTTCCCCACATGCGTCCAATCATTGTATCCCGTCATCGTCAGTCTGAGCTAATGTCTCTTCGCTGCGTCTTAGCCTTTTTTCCCCACCAGCTGTGTCGCATCTGCGTAGCGACATCATGCGTAACTGTCACCGCCTAATCGGTTACGGTGACAGTTGTTCTCATCTTGATTATTTTTTAAGAGACATTTTGAATCGTCAATTATGATTTCGGAGTCGCTAAATGTCTCTTGAGGACTTGGCAAGACGGCAGCTGGTTATGCAAAACTCATAAATGAAAGAGCAGCGGAGCGATGCATAAAACATCTCACACACACAGATACACACACACACACACGCGCGCGCACACGCAACAAAGGCAAGCCCATCTGGAAGAGAGGCCAAAGCAGACAGCCAGGCAATCGTGCCGGTTGCCGTGGAAACGCCGGGAGGGTGGGACGTGCGTGAGGGAGCGGGTGGAGGGAGGATGTCGGGGTACAACAAAGCACATTGCATCAAGCAAGTGGCCGCATTTTAAAATGCGGGTGAATGAATGAATGGGTTAAGCCGTGTCAGAAGACGTCAGCATCTTCTCCAGCTGCTGAAGACAAATGAAGGGGGGGGTGGGAGATGTTGGGAGAGTGGGAAAGCGAAAGTGGGAGACAAAAAAAAAAAATCCCTCAAGGAACTGAAACACAAGTTCACGAGGCATTAGTTGTCTATTTTACAGCAGCTCAACATATAGTAGCTAGCATGCTAGCATTAAAAAGAGCCAATGAAAATTGACCTCAATCATCTGCCTTCCTGATTCTTGGGGAAAAAACACAAAAACACAAACACACACACAAAAAAACCCCAGACAGACAGAATAGCACCGGTACCAAAGGCTAATTTATTAAAAACCACCAAGTGAACGTTACATCTGTAGCTAATGCTAATCACCTTAAATTTGTTTTCTTTTCAACAATACAAAGACAGGAAAAAAAAAAGTATTTTCAGAGATGTAAAGTGAACATTCCGATGAGGTTTCACTCCCATTTACCATTTTTTAATCCTTTAACAACGTTGTAATCCTGCGGGATTATGACTGGATTGGGTTGAATCCCGCACACTGATCACCTGCTGCAACTCGCCGGGGGCGATATTATTCATAATAATCATTACGTGTCGCAATAAAACGAGACAAGTGGATCGGCCGAGTGAGTGCACAAGGCAAAAATGACGGGATAATAAATCACGACGAAGTCCTTTTAGCGGTGGTGACTAGCGGTTAGCACATTCACCTCGCAGTTTAGAGGTCGGGAGTTTGAATCCAGGCTCTGGCTTTCCTATGTGGAATGTGTGCATGTTCTCAACGTGCTTGCGAGGGTTTTCCGCTTTTTCCACGAGAAGACAAATAGCAGTGCACGGAGAGTCCAATCTGGCTGCTGTTAACGCAGAGCGGCAATAAACGACTGCACTGGCGATCCCAAGGCATGTGGCCTACATGCGATTTGATGAAGACAACCGACTTGCATGCCGCAGCAACGTCACCGAAGAAGAGAACTCATCATTCCTGCTGGTCATGTGACCCCCACCCTGCACAACAATCTGCTAACACGCGCATTAGACGACCGCATCAAAACGCTAACGTGCTAACTACTGCCGCTCAACGACGATCGCAACATGCTAACGTTGTAATATGACTTCGACTGGAAGCTGCGGAAGTGAACAAGAGCCAAACCCGAAGCCTTCGCCTCACCTGCAGCCCCTCGATGGCGAGCCGGAGCATGCTGGGCGTGAGCTTGGAGGCTTGCTTGAAGGTGAAGTTGCTCCAGTCGATGACCAGGATGAATCCGTTCACCTGCAGCTCAGCGTCCTCGATCATGGACTCCAGAGACAGCAGGATGGACCTCAGGATGTCCACAAACATGTACCTGCCAATGACACATTTTGAAATAGCAAAAAAATGCGGGTGGTCAAGTACACGGTACCCCAAGTCTACCTGCTCTGGTCCCAGTTGGCGGCAAAGAGGAGCAGAATCTTCCTTCCATGTCGGTCCAGGTTGGCCAGCACGCCGGGGAATCCATCCTTGAGTGCCTGCTTAATTCCAGGGTCAGTGGCCTTCAGGTTCTTGAACATGTCCAGGTTCTGCTGTCTGTACTCAAAGTACTGGGCCAGCAGTCTGAAGGCTTCAAAATGGTTAAACTTCCTGGCCCGCAGGAACCTGAGGATGAAGGCGTCGTCCGTACGCAGGAAGCCGATATCCGGCCGCGTGATGATCATGTCGCGCACTTCCTGGATGTCCTGGTGAAGGGTCTCCGGGTTTTCCTTCAGCTCTGCTTTGGCCTTCTCCAGGGTGGCCGCCGACAGGCCGGCCTGCAGGTGAGTCATCTCGGCAGGAGCCACGTCCAAAGCTTCCCTCACAGAGACTCTTCTTCTTCTGCGGAGCCTGCAAGCATCGAATGATGAGCAAACCAAATGAAACACCACAAATCACTTCAACATATTATATAAGATGGCAGCAAAGCATTTTTACATCTCAAATAATCTCTACATTTCACTTCAACAAAGTTCCTTGGCACCAAATTGCCACAAGGTGGTGGAAAAGCACTGTTTATGTAAAAAGGAAACTCAATTCACATCAACATAGCTCCTTGGCACTAAGATGCGACAAAAAACACGGTTTTTGTCTTAAGGAAACCAAACAAATGCTGGGAAAGTAATATTTGCATCTAAAAACCCTCTCCGACTCACTTGGGCATAATATCCTTGACACCAAGATGACGCCAAAGCACGACATCTGTTTTAAAGAAACACCTCAACTCACGTCACCATAGTTACTTGTCACAAAGATGTCAAAAGAGTCCATCAACGCACCACTTTTGTCTGAATAAAACTCTCTGATTCACTTCAACATAGATTCTTGGCAAAAAGATGCGACAAGGTGGTGGCAAAGCACTCCATTTGTTTAAATTCAATTCCTCAAGTCATTGCACCAAGATCAAGGAAGATGGTGGGAAAACACTTCTTTTGTCAAAAACAAACTCTTCAAGTTACTTCAACACAGTTCCTTGGCAACAAAAGAACACAAGATGGCGACAAATTACAAAATACTTTAACTTCTTTAACCAAACCACAAAAACAGCTACGTTTTTAGCAAACGACCGAGGATGGCTTACCCCCAAAAATAATCATAAATAGAACAAATTTGCGACCTATTTTTGCATCCAAGACCATTTAGTGCTTTGTAGACCAACAATTAAAATCTCTTCTTTAACTCCAGAAGCCAGTTTACAGCATGTGTGGCGACTACATCCAAACGGCCAAACATTCCCGAGATCCTGCTGCTGCTGCTGCTTCACGCCATCAGAACCATACGTGAGCGTGTGTGTGCTGAGAGTGTGAAGGAGGGAGATGACGGCATCACCTTCTCCCCCCACGGAGGAGGCCAAGCAAGCAATGCGGCACCAGGCTGCAGCACCTGCTACATCACCGACACCCTCATCTGCTCCATGGTGCTGATGTCTCTTCTTCCTCTTCCCTCCCACTCCTTCAAATAATCCAAGTTGTCCGGTCCATTTGCACAGGTGGGTCCAGTACGCTCCGTTTCCCGGGTTCTGTTGTGCAGCGGGGGAGGTTTTAGGGTGGGGTACGCCACCAGGATTAGCGTCTGTTGGTCTGCGCTGCTGCCGTCTGTTTCGCCGCCAGAGTGAGTGACAACAAGCTGGGCCGGTGGGGGGGGGATGAGGCGGCGGCGGCGGCGGCAGAGGACCAGGAGGAGGAGGAGGAGGAAGAGGAGAAGGATGTTGGAAGGGAGGAGGAGAAGAGTGAGCATGTGCAGGACAAAAGACAGCAAAGAGGAGGAGGATGAGGATGGTGGTATAGACTTTGTAGCCTGAGGCAAAACGTCATCAGGTTTGGATGCATGTGTTTGTGGGTATTCTTTATTTTTGCTGCCTTTGTTTCACCGTTTTGTCTCCAAATGCAAAAAAAAACAAAAAAAAAACATTTCTGCACAGGCCTACAATAACAGAATTGCATGCCATTTAGAAATTTAAAAAAATTTAATTTACAATTTTAACATTTTTAGCTCCTGACAGGGTCCCAATCAAATGAGTGAATCAAATTAGATGTGGAATATATATATATATATATATATATATATATATATATGTGTGTGTGTATGTGTGTGTGTGTGTGTGTGTATTTTGGGGACTAGTGTTTTTCAAACCCTGTGCCGCGGGAAATTATTCAATATGTATGTATGTATGTATGCCTTTGCGGTCAATCGCCTGGCAGAGGTAATCGTGCAGTACTCTTCCATACCGGTAGATAGCAGCAGCAGCTAGCTAATTGCCTTGCCAACCTACTTGTCAATTATTTATACCAGTGTTTTTCAAACCCTGTGCCGCATTTTCACCCACATTTTCAGCTGGTGGTGTGCCGCGGGATTTTTTCAATGAATGAAATGTGCCTTGGCTCGAAAAAGATGGAAAAACGCTGATCTACTAGGATGTCAATTATGACGCCATTAAGAGGTGGACACGTTAAATGACAATTTTGAGGACAACTAGCGCCACTAACTGGTCACTTTTGGTAATGACTCCCTGGCAAGGGTATTTATTAGAGAGGGATTTAAAAATAAATGTCAAATACAGGATCACTAATAGTTTGCTAATATGCAAATCCCAAAAGATAGGTTCAAAGTCTGTGCGGTTGGAGCGTCAACTAAAAATTGTATAAAAACTGTCTTGCAAAGGAAATGGATTCTTGGACATGTGGTATAGTGGAAAAAAACGGAACTATCATAACAAGTTTGAAGAAACGTAATTTGGTGAGGGACTGGCGTGTTTCGTGTCACTCCGACGAAAAGATTTTTTTATGAATAGAGACCTGTGGGTGTCGCCATCGCACCGGAATGGAACACGGTTGTCAGTCGCGGTTACAAGGGAGATGCTTCCGGAAAGTTTTCTTCTTCAAACCCGGGTTGGTTTATACCCATCTCGGTGTGGAGGGCCGGGGGGTGGGGGCGTATTTAATATTTGGATGTAAATTTGCTGAAAAGTGACTCCCAAAAATGCACACCAATTTTTTAAACTGCTTGGAGCTATAAGTGACAAAGTTCGAAAACCAGATCAACCACTTCAGCTCTCCGACACCCCCCTCCCTACAAAAAAAAAAAAACTCCCACCTCCCTCCTCTTTCTGGGGTAAACCCAGTGACCCCCACATACTGACCAGACAAGCAATGGGGGGGATGTTCAGGATGGAATGAGAGGCAGAGGAGATGGGTGCAGGGATTTAAGAAGAAGAGGGATTAACAGCAAAACTTCAACTCCAAACACCCTCGCCCAGGGCGGTGGGCACACGCACGCGTACACAAACACATCACTCACAATCATTATAAAAAAAAAATAAAAATAAAAAATTAGGGCCCGACAGAAAGCCGGTTTCCTTTATAGAAGTGAATTTTGAGTGTCTCATTGTCAACCACGAGTGTGCCTACGTCACCCAGAGAAAGACAAAAGAGGAGGGGGTTAGGAATTTTCGTGTCAAGTCCGACTTGACAGCCAATGTGTGGACTCGATGGCCCCTTGAGACCGTGACGATAGAATCTATTCGAGCAACATGTTAAGAAGGTCTGCGATTGGCTGGCAACCGGTTCAGGGTGTCCCCCGCCTACTGCCCGAAGACAACTAGGATAGGCTCCAGCACCCCCCGCGAACCCTGTGAGGGTAAGCGGATCGGAAAATGGATGGATGGAGGTTAAGAAGGTGTGCCTAATCAAGTGTCTCGTGAGTTCACTGACGGGTGTGTGACTGTGAGGTAACGTGCGAGCTGGTTAGCCGAGTTTGTGTGAGTGTGTGTGTATGTGGGCGGGGGGGAGGGGGGGCTTTGCTGTTCCCATTCAGCGTTTCAGGGGTAGTACGAGTGGTCCAATCATACCCCCCCCACACACACACACATAAAGGAGTCCATTCAAGGCTGACAAACAACAAATGAAGCATGAGACAAAAAGTGAGAGACCCCCCCCCCCCTCCACCACCCTACCCCTTCCCAGTCAGTCTCCATTATGGAGTGTGTGAGACTTGGCAGGGGGGTAATATCTCACGGGAGTCCCAAATGAAAAAGGGCTTCATAAGCATGATGTTTCCTCCCTCCCTCCAATAGTTGAAAAAAAAAATTTGGTCGGCCATCATTGTTCGTGGTAACAAAAGAGGATATGCCAGTAGGACAGGAAAACACGCAAAAAGTGCACACAGTAACATTAGATAAACACGAGGTGATTTGGCAATCAAGATGATTTTGCAACATGATTACACAATGGAGATGATTTCACAAACAAATGAGCAGGTTCCACTGGAGCACTGCTCACTCCCAGGAATCAACATGTTGATTTGTAGTTATCGTGATTTTTTTTTTGGACTCATTTACTACACTGTTCAACATCAAATTTGAATTCGATAAGTCTTGTTATATTAGCTATATTTTTGAAACTGATTCCAAAAAATGCCTTGACTTTTTCTCTAGCACATCAGGTTTTTGAGCTATTTTAATTTTTTTTGTTTTTAAATTTGGCATTTATAAATTCAATAACTTTTCTATATTATAGAAAATAACCATTCCAATACGACTATAATAGTTTAGGGATCAAAAGTGAGTTTGCATGCTAATAGTTTATCGAACATAAACAATCATATGTAAATGAAACATTTACGCATATAAATCATCTTTTGATTGCGTTTATCTTTCAATAATGTTGAATAATCCAGATATAAGTGCAGTTGGTATCACTTGGTTGTCATGGATAAAAACTTGACCAGTCTCAAAAGACTGTCAGTTGCCGCTGCAGTGAAGTAGATGAGGGATTAGCTTTAGCGCGTGGCTAGCTAAATTACCAGTCCAAAAAAATTTTACATGGACAACACTAATCACTAATCTCGCTGAGCGCAGACCAAACAAAAAGAGCTTTTACAAAAAGGGATTAGCCTCACGCCAGAAGGACGAGGTTAGCTCAGGTCAGGTTGATCAGCTGTAAACTGCGTGACAATAACAAGAGTATAAATGTTATAAAAGAGTAAAATTTTTCTTTTAAATGTTTCTCAAATAAAACGACAACACAGTCAAAATCCACCCGACAGAAACAACATTTAACATGCATACCAGGCCACCAGTTGAGTGTGTCTCCTGGGGTCAACCTCGGGTCCCCTACATTTCCCGAGATACCAAACTGAACCTTTGTGGCCATTTTTTTTTTCATACTGTATATCAAACGGAGTTTATTGGTCGGGATGCTTTATTTTGTAGGAAACAAAACTCTCAAAAATTTTTATCTTTTTTTGTGGTTGGAAGTGTACTCCATAGAACTTTCCCCCCCTCCCCAAAAAGTGGCCGCGCAAAGAGAGAAAAGAGACAAGCTTTGTTTGCACACAAAAGCGCTTCACTGATGTCACCGTGGCGATGGCTGCCCCGGCAACGGACCATACTCACCCGCCAGTATGCTGTTACCACGGTTACGCTCTGACCAGCCGAGCAAAGGGATTGAAGGATCGGGGCGGAGGGGGCAGGGGGAGCAAAGAAGGTTTGTTTCTCACCATTCATCATTCATCTTAACTTCTTTTTTCTTCTTCTGACACTTTCTGGACATTCTTTTGGGGCTTTTTGGAAGTTACACATGAAGCAAACGGATGTTTTGAAACGTGGGACTGTCAACGTTAGGGGGAGGTAGTTGAGCAGAGGGGTGGGGGGGGGGCGCCCACAATAGCGCTGGAATGGAGCTGAGAACATTCAAAGCAGGAGAAGTTGAGAGGGAGTAAAGGGGGGCCAAGTCAAATGAGGCCAGTGCCTGCTCCCCCCCCCCCCCCCCCCAACATTACAAAAAAAAACGCTAAAGACAAACGCTACATTATACTCATGGATAACTAAGAAACTACAGACCTAATGAAAAAAAAAAACACGACTCAGACAATTAGGCCATTTGGCTAGCATTTTTTTTAAGAGCAAAACTTGAAATCAGGTCAACAATTGTCAACAATGAGATAGTTTCAGGATTCGGAAGACGACAGAGTGTCAACAGTCATCCACTTTTTACATTCATTTCAACTGTGCAATGCACATGCTTCAGCAATCATAGTCAATGCAATTCCCTAGCACCCGTTTTTCATGGCGCATGTTTCTCAAGCTAGCATCATCCTCGAGTATGTGTGCTCCAAATTCGGAAGCAATTGGAAAAAAAATAAATCTCGAGAGCAACTCGGCAAGTGGAAAAAAAAATCTCGAGAGCAACTTGGTGTTTGAAAAACTCCCCCCAAACCCCCCCCCAAAAAAGACCAAAAACAAGTGCAAAATGGCCTCTCAAAAAAATTGGCAGACTTCCTTTGTCTCCTCAGGAATGGTTTCTTGAGTCTTTTTTTGTGGGTTTACTCATGAGAGACTGTCTACCAAATTTCATGTTAAATTAAACTGGTTTCAATAAAATAAATCCAATTTAATGCCTCAAAAATGACCCTGGCTTGGTTGTGCCAAACCTAAACTGAATACCGTTTGAGACTTTTTTTTGGGGGATCTACTCCTGTTTTTAATTTCCCACCCTAGAACTGGTTTAAGGGGTTGAAACTTTTTTGCAAAACAAATCCACAATTTCTAAATGACTAAAAAAAAAAAAGATCATTTTCATAGCAAAATAGAAGACTTCCTATTTCTTTTCAGGCACGGCCTCTTGGGACTTTTTTGTGGTGTACTCATGACAGACATGGCAACCAAATTTCATGTTGCCAAGTCTGAAAAAATTTCAGAGGCACATGAGACAATTTTGAATCATCTTACCATGATTATAGCGATATTATTATTCTGGTGATAGTGGCACAAAAAAAAGGGATGAAATCCATAAATGGATATCAAAGAAGATTACTGGCGAGACTGTGACGATGTTGTTGCGCCCCCACGCAAGCGCCGTAGCGGGCCTGGTCCAGGTGGAGCATGGAGCACAACTGGAGGAGCTTACACTCTCCCTGGCATGACGGCCTGCCATCGTAACTAACCGTGAAGTGAGCAAAGTAGGCGTCGAAAGCGGCGTTGGGCGGTAGCCACAAGCGCACAGCCAGTTCCAGAAGATTATGCGGCCGCAGGTCCGGCATCCCAAACGCTTTTGTCATGATGTACTCCAGCTTCCAGTTGGCTCGTTGCTCGAGGTTCGCCTCGGTCAGGTTGAGGAAGTACTGCCACAGGTCCTTTGACATGGAAAAAAAAAATAGGCTTGCCTTTTGTACTTCGACACGGGATGGTGTAATAATGTGACGTGGTGTTGGGCAAGGGTGGCCGTCAAGACTTACCAAAATGCCAAAGTCTCGTTTGTCATAGAAATACAATCGCACCGCCGGGTTATTGGAGTACGGCTCCGAAAAGCTTCTGATGGGCGTTACCGCCGGAGCCACGAACACAGAGTTCACAGGCGAATCTATCAAAAAATTTTTTTTAAATATTAAAAACATGCATCATTAACTCATTCACTCCCAAAGACATTTTTAAACGTCTTTTCAGACTTGGTCCAGAATTGGCTGGTACTGAATATGTTAACCGCTATAAATGCACCATCCATTAAAAAATAAAATAAATAAAAAACTCCATTATATTTTTTAACTTTACCAAAGAAACAAATCATGCGACATTTAATTGATATATTTAATATCATTTTGTGATAATGTTATGATGACTTCAAGATGGCGCCGCGAGAGTGGCTGCCTTTACAGCAGCTCCTATACTTTTTGTTCTCCTACTTTCTTCCTTTCCTAACTTTGCTGCTGTAAATTGGGAATTTCTCCATTGTGAGACGAATAAAAGGTTTTCTTATTCTTATTAATTAATGCATCGTATAATATCGACTGGCAATATACAGTCTGGGATGCCATAAGGAATTTTCCGGCCACTTTATTAGGAACACCTACTCATCAAGTTCAGTCCAAAAAAAAAAAAACCCTCAAAAGTGAGCATCAACATCATCGTCTTACTTTTTACTTATACGCTGTTGACTCATGTAGCGAATGCTTTCACATTATTTCTGCGGTCACCTTTGGAGTCAAGGAGCACCATGATGCTATCTTTGTGCGTGTGTCCGTAGAAATGTCCCGCGATCACGTGACTGTGGCGCCGAAAGATGTTGAGCAGCTTCTCGTTGTGCTCATCCCTGATGGCCGTCACGTTACGGAGCGAGGGCAGGAATCCCAGCGGAACGTGCGAAATGATATACACCTGACAGATCGACACGTCAATCAAACGAGGGAGTGCCGATAACGATAACCCGGAACCCGATAACATGATCGGCTGTCCGCTGTAGTGACACCGCTATCCCTGAAAGGGTTCATGACAACATCAAACCTTCTCCATGTCATCGCCCGCCTTTTTCAGCGTGTCATCCAACCACTCGTATTGTCCCGCCGGGTCGCTCATGTTGACGGTGGCGCGGTCGGGGCCGTAGTAGAGGATGCTGTTGACGCTCACCACTCGGACACCCGCACGAACCAGCTGGGTATAGAAGCCTCCTGTGGACACCAGCACATGAGCGAAGACTTTACACGTACATAAAAATGTGACATTCGAAGACCTGGCATCCATTTTCCAACTAGCAGGAAAGGGGCTAACAATATAACTTACTTAATTAAACGCTAACATCGCAACATGCTCGCTAACATAGCAATATGCTAGCCTTCGGATACTAACTTTGACTGACTTGAATTGTTCCAACGCCAACGAGGTGCTAGTACAAATTCCACACACACACACACACACACACACACACACACACACACACACACACACACACACACACACACACACACACAGTGTGAAAAAAATAATTTTAGTGACATAAGGTAACCTCGTGAAAGAGTTTTCAATGCGTCGTCTTGCAGCCAGGGACTCCAAAGGCGGGCGGCAGCCTTGTAGATGTCGTTTGTGGACGTAGGCAGCTGATCCTGACAACATACACAAAACCGTATGGAGAGACATGCTCGGATACTGAATCTGCCGTGTCGCCTACCTGCGGCCAGTAGTCATGGTTCCCCATGGCGGGAAAGACGCTGACGTTTGGGAAATGTTGTCGGATGCTTTGTGTCAAGTTGCTAATCACTTCGATCACCATCGACGTGGACAGCTCGCTTACCGGAACGTGAGGTGGACTGTCTCTGTAGTAGTAAAGCAAATCAGATTTTTAAAAAATCATAATCATCGTGAAAAATAAAGCTTCATTTCATAATTTGGGACTGAAACCCTCCATTTTTTAAAATTCGTCCAAAATGAGGAATAGGCAATTTGACGCCACCCGGTCCAAATGATGAAGTCGTTTGGTTGTACGAGGCTCTTCATGTGCATGAAAGCCGACTGGATGAGGCCGTAGGGCGAGTCGCACAAAAAGTCCCCAAACGGACCGGCATCGGTGGTGGGCTTCCCTTTGGAGGAGAAACACACTTTGGTGGGGTCCGGCGCCAGGTGGTAGGTGGGGTCCAAATGAAGGTCGGTGATGTGCCAAAACCTTCCTGGTGTAGGAATAATTGGAAAATGTACTTTGGAGTCAAGACAGCACAGTCAGATATCATCATGGCCTCTCAAGAGTGTCACAATTTGTAAAAAAAAATCTACTGATACACATAAGACAACTGCTCACTATTCGCTATCGTACATAACAATCGTGAAAAAAAATATAGGAGCGGGAAATCCTTTTTTAAATTTTTTTAGTTTTATAAGTTTTAGCAGTCTGTACGACTATAAAAGTGTCTGAATAGGGATTTTACAAAAAATGCGGAAAAGTGAAGTGCTTTGAATACTTTTTGGGATGCATTCCAGTCTGTGAGTCTATAAAAATGTCTGAATAGGGATTTTACAAAAATGCGGAAAAGTGAAGTGCTTTGAATACTTTTTGGGATGCATTGTATATCCAACACGCGCACACGCACGCTTTAAACGACTTTTTTTCCCCAAGATGGCGCCCGAGTAGGCAGCCATTGGCAAGTACTCTTCAAGAGTCTTGCTTTTTTGTTCTTCTGGTCTTTGTTTTGTAAATTTCCCCAGTGTGGGACAAATAAAGGACTTTTTTTCCCCAAGATGGCGCCCAAGTAGGCAGCCATTGGCAAGTACTCTTCAAGAGCCTTGCTTTTTTGTTTTTTGTTGTTCTGGTCTTTTGTTTTGTCACATGGTGTTTGTTGTTTCGTCGTGTGGACCTGATGTAGACTGTTTTCAGCATTTTTTGGCCACAACATTCGTCAAAGACGAAGAATCTGTGCCTGGTGGTTGCGCCTTCTCGGCATGGGAGCACGCCTGTACCAACGGATTTTGATTGGGAGGAATGTCGGCGCCATTTGACTGTAGGTGCTGGACAGCCCCCGGGGTGTTTGTGGTTTTTGCACCTGTAATGGGCATTTTTCACAGCCCAGTTTTGTTCAGTGGAGATGTCGGTCCCGGGGTGTTTGTGTTTTTTTTTTTTTACGCCTGTAATGGGCAGCATTTTTCACAGCCCAGTTTTGTTCAGTGGAGATGTCGGCGCTGTTGGATAGTCTGAGTTGGTGCGGCTGGATGGATGGCTGCTGAAGTTGAGGATAAGGAAAGAGGAGTGTCGGCGCGGAGCGCTGATGCGTATTTCGAACTGAGAGTCACCGCTTGGAATTGAAATGGATTTACATGGGATAGGAGAAGTGAACCAATCTCTTTTTTTCGTCAACGGATGCTACAGCTTCTTGCTGACTTTGAAACTTAACTTAGCTTGTAGCCGACGTGTGCACATTTTGAGCATGACGTCTCTGAGCCACTGGCGAAAGGACACTTTATGATTCTCTCCTCTTTCATCTCAAACTGCTTTAAACAAAAAAGCGCATGAGGGGGAAAAAGTGGTTAGGACTGTCCGACGTCTGTTATGTCTGGTGCTGTTGTGAAAGCGCTATATAAATCAGGATGTATTGTATTGTACTTCAGCCTCGCATGTCCAAAACGATCATCAACAGCTAATTTAATTCAAATATTGAAATGGTACAACACGTCATCAGAACAAAGCCAGTGCCAAGGGTTGACAATGTCTTTTAATAGCATTAATCCCTCTTGACAAGAGCAAACAAATGTGTTACGTCTCTTGACAAACTTTATTCAAAGGTCTGAGAGGCATTAACACACACGAGCCATCTGCAGCACGTCAGCACTTGATATTTGTCTTGTTTTGAATGCTCCATGTGTGTGGATCAATTCGTTGCGGTTGACGAAAGTGCTTTTGTTTGTTCTTCAACGTCGTCCCGTGTACTGTCATTCCTCAACGTAAGACGGGTCGGCCGTCTGATTATTATTATTTTATTTTTTTTGCATACAAATTGCATGGGGACAATTTCAGTTTTGGGAGGTATCACGACGACTCACCTGCGTCCCCCGGCTCGGCTCCTCTTCCGGGCGGGGCCGCCTCAAGGCGAACGGCGGCGCATAACAGGAGAACGAAACAGACGAGTTGCGCCGTCATGTCGTTCAATTGCAAGAGCGTAGCTCGGAATACACGACAAAGGTCGCTCAACAACTCGTGTTTGTTGACGAGCAAAAGGCGGATATTGGAGTGGTCAGCTTGTCACGTGACTTTGTGTTTTCAAAAAGACGGGGCGTGGTTTCGTTTGATTGACGGCCGAGCTCATTACGTGACGTGGACGAGCGCGGAACTATGTCGTTCGACCTGATGTAAACTGCGTTTGTGTCGTGTAACTGTCGAATTAAAAACTGAAAAACATCGTTCTACCTTCTTGTTTATTTCCTTGTTCAAACTTTTAAACTCCTGCGTTGCACTGTTTTATTTTCTTTTTTCAGTCAAACGGTTTATTGACCAGTATCAATAAGCTATGATCAACTCATAGGCTAACAAGTAAAAACGCCAACCAAGTTAGACAAGACTTTTTTTTTCAGCTCAAAACTTAAATATATTAGACACTGCCATAAAATACTAACAATGAAAAAAAAACTCGTAATACAACCGTTTGTCAGACTGTCAATAAATGATACGAACAGAAGAGAAGAGTCTAAAATTTCCCCGTGTTTTATTTACCACATTTGCAAAGATGATCAGTCCAATATGTCATTTTTTTCATGTAAAAAAAAAAAAAGACTTGATAAAAATAAAACGTGCAGCTTGCTTGAGGAGGAAGACGATGATGAAGAAGAGGTGCAAACGTTGGCCTCTACGCCTTCTCGTAGGTGCGTACGGCGTGGATGTCCTCGAAGGTCAAGTTCTGGTTGAGGAAGAGAAGAACGTCACTTTTAAAAGTTTTTTTTTTTTAACCCAAGAAACTTCATCCAAAAAATGAAGAACATTTGGAGCACCAAATTTTCTGCTTCGGAGGGAATTCATTTCCAGAGCTCCAGAATCATGAATATGAGATTATTATAGGAAGACATAAATGTGTATTATATTACAAAATAAATAAAATTAATATTTAAAAAAAATCACCCATTTTAGCAACTAAAATAAGATTTTATTAAAAAAAAAAGACTATTCTATAGTATTGTAATACTGAGTATCGCCATGTCAATTTTCAACTTTTTTTTCTTGAAGAAACCAAATTTTTATCTGAAATCTCACCATGACCAGCTTGCCGTCCTTGATCTCCCTGACGAACTTGGTCTCCTTGCCGTCCCACTTCTGCACGTGGACCAACTTGTCTCCGTCCATGCTCACTGTGGACTAACGAGCAGATGACCGTTAGCATCCAGCGCCATTTAAGACTTCTCAAACTTGTCAGGTGGAGGGAGAAACGTTTTTGTCTTCAAAGTTAAGCCGCCAGACTGGAAACGCCATAGACCGACTAACGATTAGCATCTTTGTGGCGGTGTTACCGGCATTTTGAGCAATGGATATTTCAACACATATGGTGGAGCAACACATGTAGACAGACAATATAGCAATATTCAATGAGGTTTTCGTTACAAAAGTGAACATTCAGTTTTACTTTTGTACTGAAGTGCATTTTAAGACAAGTAGCTGTACCCTTTTTGTGCCAAGTTATCACGGGGACAATTTACAGTATTCGATTAACCTGCCATGCATGTTTTTGGAATGTGGCAGGAAACCGGAGAACCCAGAGAAAACTCACACAGGCACGGGGAGTACATGCAAACTCCACACAGGAAGGCCAGAGCCGGAATTGAACCCTCCACCTGTGCACTGTGAGGTTGACGCACTAACCCCTGGACCACCGGGCCGCCGGTATTGTTGACAGTCCAAAAAAACATTTTTTCTACTTTATTAAAAGTAATCAGGATGTAATTTTTCTGACCAGTCTTTTTTTTTTTTTACTCCATTACTTTTCCTCAAGTCAGTACTTGCGTCTCATGTGCGCTCCACAAGCGTTGCTCGGTGTGTTCCTACCTTGCAGTTCCTATCGTCGGCGGTGGTCTCGTCAAACTCCTCCCCCAGCTTGAAGGAGATCTCGGTGTTCTTGAAGGTGCTCTGCGTGCGGATGGTCACCTTGTCGCCCTCCTGGCTGATGATGACGGTGGGCTTGGTCACGTTGCCCACCTGCCGGGTGGCGAATCCCACACCTGGGTGCCGATAGAAGCCAGTCAACCTCTGTTTCTCTCTTGCTGTGCCGTATGTTTGAAGACTAAAAACTACAGCAACATCGATGGTAATTTCCATCGTCGCGGGATGACAACGAGGCGCTCTAACTCCATTGTCCACATACTGGTAGTTACATTGGACTTTATTTATTTATTGTTTCAATGACGTGTTCAGCATTCATAGCCAACAACGAGGCACTCGCTCTAAAGCGGCCACATCAAGTCGAGATTGTATTTAGATTGTATTTATTTATTTATTGAAAAACACCCTAATCCCCACCATCCCATGAGGCGCTCTAAAGCAGACACGCCAGCGCGAAGTCACATGGTGGCTGTCACATTTTCCCCCCACACCTTCACTCTTTCGTCTGCCTCTCCATGATGTTCGTGCACTCACGGCCAACAATGAGGCGTTCTAAAACAGCCATATCAACACAAAGTTCCAATCCACACGCTATCTGTCATTTGGGACATATTATTTATTCTGCCTTCTCACCATGATATGTGTGCACTCATGGATGTAACAAGGCACTCTAAAGAGGCCACATCAAGACTTTTTTTTTTTTTATGTGTTACTCCCCATCCCGCTCTTGTGCCGTCAACAAGGTGCTCTAAAGCAGACATGGCAGCACAAAACCACACGCTGCCTGTGACATTTTCTTTCACCTACACACTTGAACATCTTTCTCTCATGATGGTCGTGCATGCATCACCAACAACGGGGCGCTCTAAAGCGGCCATGCCAGCAGAGTATCTAATGGGAAAATGCATTTTCAGGGTGTTAACACAGCAAACTTGCTACACGGATGTCCCAACAGCACTGGACAGCCGCTGATCCTTTCTCCTCACTAGTAAGATAATTCAGCATACTAGTACAGCGACTTGTCTTACTAGTAGCCTTTTTTTCCCACTGCTGTGTGGGATATTTGCACACTACTAGGAAAACTGCAAGTTACTCGTAGGACAAAAATGCGCACTAGTTGACAACTCTGTGCTACTAGTGCATTCCAAAATTCAACGAGTGAATATCCAGCGCTTCACTAGTAGCACGAGTGCGACTCACCGAGCGCTTTCATGTACTCATCGAAGTTTTCGCTGTCCACCAGCTTCCAAGTGGCACAGAAGGCGTCGACCATGTTGGAGGTTTTGTGCGTGCTGAGCAGGCTGAAAGTCTCACAAGAAGTGTGGGGGGCCCCCCTTCAGGGCTCTTATTGGGTGGCCACATTAGTATGCCAACAGGTGGGCGGAGCCAAGCGCAACATTGGCTCAGGAGACTTTTTTTTTTTTTGCCGGGGCAGTCTTTGGCCCGAGAATTTGGGTCATGGTCCGGTTTAACTCCCACGAAGGATGAGTCCAAATAATCCCTAAAAAATATGAATGTTTGCATTTAAAAAATATAAATCAATATATATTACGATTGTGAAAAGTGTGAAAAAGTCTTACTTAGCTTTTTGTTTGGAAAAGACATTTGAATCAAAATAGATGTAATGATAAAAATGAAACACGACACTGTGGGGGTTCATTGGTATGCAGGCAGGTGGGCGGGGCTCAGCTCCTCATTAGCTCAGGAGACTTTTTTGCTCGGCTGCCATTGGTCGAAAAAAATGGGTCACAGTCCAACTGGACCCCCTGGAATGAAAATGAAAAGTCCAAATTAGCCCAGTGGAGTGATTAATGATGTCATTAGCACCATTCAGGCTGAAGGGGGCGGTGGGGTGGGGGAGGCACGTTGAAAAGGTAAGTTATGTGAAAAGTTGACAAAAAGCTCAGCCTTTTATCCTGGAAGAAAAAAAAAACGCCTTTATTCTCAGGAAAAAAAGGGACTGCAGTGTATTTCCCAAAAGTATGCCTTTTGTTGTTGAAAAAAATAAGACTCTATGTCTGTAATTAATAGGCCTTTTCGACATTTTTAAAAGGCAGTTAAAACATTATTTAGGCAACCCAGTTAATAGTTTTCATTTAAAAAAATACATGTATTGATTCAAAAAGATTCATTTGTTTTTAATCATTGTGATTGTAAAATTCGTTCTTGATTGTGTTTCTAGCCATGTTGAACACTTTGTTTACTTACAACTACAATTTACTTCCGTTATACTTTTTTAAATTTTTTAATTCGTTCTTTTTCATTCACTGACACACGCATATGCTTGCAGCTCTTAGTCACTCACAGTAATTTTACTTAATAACATTTCCTGCGAGACTGTGTCTGCGTGCGAATGTATATCGCGCACTCGGGCGTGATAGCTTTTGTTCGACGGGTCTTTGTCATTATTTGACTCCGCCCCCCCAAAATAACTGTCACTTCTTGCTCAACAGAAACGCTAATGGCACAAATACTCTTCACTATTCGGACACCGTGCGTTTCAATTATGGTACTAAAAGTGAATCTGGCGTGAAAATTGGAATAATTGAAACTGTAATCGTGTGTGTCTCTCTCTCTCTCTCTCTCTCTCTTTCTCTCTCTCTCTCTCTCTCTCTCTCTCTCTCTCTCTCTCTCTCTCTCTCTCTCTCTCTGTACCGACATTTTGCGCAAGTCCTTTGGCGCCCTCTGTTGTTCATTCCTTGCTATTGAAAGGTCCCTCAAATTTAGGTCATGCAATCGGAATACCATTAAGTGCAATTTGAGTGTAATTAACATATTCTGTTTAAAGATTATCTGACAAAAAGAGTGTAAACAGCCACACATTTAATTTCGTTTGTTTCATTCGTCACCACTTGTTCTGTGGATATTGACGTCACGCGAATATCAGCCCGCCAGCGAGAAGAAGACTTAAGTCTGTGGTCACCGTATTTTACCGTCAAAGAAAATGTACACGGTTATGTTTTGGGAATGGTCATGTAGGTATTTTTAGCTCGCAGGCAGGCGCTTTGAGGGCACACCCAGACGTGCATTATTGCGTAGTAGCTGCGTGGCAACAAAAACGTCTAAACATACAGTACACGCGCACGCGTTGTCATCACAGGACAAAAGATGCTTTTGCCAAGGCGTTAACTCTATGATGATACCGCACAGCGGCGGCTTGACAAAAAAAAAAAAAAAATCGATGCGTTTTGTGACCGCATTTGAAACTCAAAACATCGCGTAAAAAAGGCGGGACACTTGTTAACACGTTGAGCTCACAGTGCAGCGGCAGAGGGTTCGATTCCGGTTGCGACCTTCCTGTGTGGAGTTTGTTGTTCTCCCCGTGCCTATGTGGAGTTTTCTCCGGGTGCTCCGGTTTCCTCCCACATTCCAAAAACATGCATGGCAGGTTAATGGAACACGCCCTTGGTGTGATTGTGAGAGCGAATGGTTGTTTGTCTAAGTGAGCCTTGCGATTGGCTGGCAACCAGTTCAGAGTGGGGTAGGCTCGAGCACGCCCGCGACCCTTGTGAGGATAAACAGATGACAATATGGATGGATATAAAATAATATTGGGAAAATGTGATTCTGCAATACCATTGCGCGCTCAACCAATGGTTGTCGACGGGGGCGTGGCTATGCAAACGAGCTAAAACGAAAGAAGGACCGTCAACGTCATCGCCGGCATTTGCTGAGGTGTGGGCGGAAGACGACGCGACGTAGTCTGAACCGTACGCCAAATCAGACCCAGGCAAACTTTCTGTACTCCATACATGGCGTCGACATGCCCCAAGTGTGTTAAGCCGGTGTTTTTTGGTGAGTGGACCAGTGATTGGGGCTGTTTTTTTTTTTGTGTCTCTTCACTGTCGTCTGTAATTACAGTGACGTCCTTTTATCTTATGGATTTTAATGTGATTTCTTGAGGAGAGGCTGCTTATCAATCATTTTGAATATGATACTATTGCTTTGCAACCAAACATTTATTGTATTCCTATCCAGAGAAAGATAATTATAGTATTGCCTTTGAAAAATACATGTACAAAGCAGACGTCTCTCTTGGACATTGTTTCTGGCGGATAGTAAACTATTGAACAAAACAAAGAGAATTACAAGGAATGTATTAAAATAAATAAAGAAAACATACAATCTTGAGTCCACCAATGCTAATGAATGACATCAGTGTCACTGCATTATGAATGTATGAGCAGTGATATTTGAACACAAACAGTGGAGCAATACATGTAGACAGACAATATGACAGTCGATATTCTTTATCCTCCGCTAAGAACGACGACGATTGCTGCTCCTCTGAGGAGCTGAGACCAAAACTGTTCTATTTCTTTTCATTATGACTTAATTATGTAATTGATGATCGTGAACCACTCTGGCAGGCTTCCCGAGGTGCCCTCAGGATAAATAATCAACTTTGGTCTTTTTGAACCAAACGTTGTATTGAGACTTCAAAATGCGCAAAAGTGTAATTTGTATGAGGTAAACAGAGCACAAAAAAATAAAATATTGAGTGAATTTTTACAATATTTGACAGCAATGTGTGTGTGTGTGTGTGTGTGTGTGTGTGTGTGTGTGTGTGTGTGTGTGTGTGTTTTCACAGCGGAGAAGGTGTCTTCTTTAGGCAAAAACTGGCACAAGTTCTGTTTGAAATGTGAACGATGTAGCAAGACGCTGAATCCTGGTGGTCATGCTGAGGTACGAGAGAGCTTCAATCTGGGCCGGGATATATAAAAAAATATATCACTCATAATTTTACATGTGGCATGATTAACATCTGACATAATTTAATGTGTGGTATAATTGTCAAGTGATGTCATCTAAAATGTGAAATACTTCACAGCATGAGGGGAAGCCTTTCTGCCACAAACCGTGCTACGCTGCCCTTTACGGACCAAAAGGTGACTTTTATTGCTCACATTTTTAAAAAGGATTGTCAATATTGCTATTATTTATATGTGCGTATCGAATAAAGAGTAACCTATTTGAATATGTTTCAGGAGTGAACATCGGTGGAGTCGGCACCTACCTTTACGATGCTACCGCCAACGAGGCCCCGGCAGCTGTTCCCGTGGTAACCAAAGCGGGGGAGGAGAAAAAAGTCGCCTCTCGGGGTCCAGTGAAGGGTGAGAAATATGTGGAGTAAAAATAGAAGGAACAGGATCACTGTGATAGGATAGCAGTGAAAGAAAAAAAAAAGATGTATATATATTTTTTGTGTAACTCCCAAAGCTGCCACTTTCTCTGCTGGACCGAACGTCTGCCCCGGCTGCAACAAAACAGTCTACTTTGGTGAGTGCATTCATACCAACTGTGGAATTGGGTCATACTGTTGGGGTCCATTTTCATCCTCCAAGGTCCAACTTTTAAGTTATGTATTATAATTAAACCGCTATGTTTATGGTTAGAAAAGTTTAATCAGTAACTATGGTAACCATGTGCATTTGTATGTGGACAGCCGAGAAAGTGTCATCTCTGGGAAAGAACTGGCACAAGCCGTGTCTGCGCTGCGAGAGATGCAGCAAGACTCTGACGGCTGGCGGTCATGCCGAGGTGAGAGTGCCATTTGTTTTGTTTTGTAAGAAGCTAAAGAAGTGATAAGTTTTTTGTAATGTTCATGTTTCAGCATGAGGGACGGCCTTATTGCCACAAACCCTGCTACGGCGTGCTGTTTGGACCAAAAGGTATGAAGCCACATTTTGTAAGGGTGTTTTTAAGGGTGGCTGCTCCCAACTGTTGCTTTTGTCTGCAGGTGTGAACACGGGAGCTGTGGGCAGCTACATCTACGACAACCCCGAAGCTCAACACTGAACACAAGAGAAACAACAAGAACAAAGCTTTGATCTTGAAAATCTCCTGACAGTTCATTCTGTTCTATTTCTAAAGCCTTTAAGTATTGTTTTGACAGAAAAAAAAACTGGGTGTGACTTTTGCCGAAATAATGAGCTGTTATATATTAGTCAAGTTCGGCTCCCAGAGTCGGACTCCTAAATGAATGTCAATGTATTAAAAATAAATTTATAAACGAACAAGGGTGTGTTCTTTAGTATGAAAGAAACAAGGAAAAAGACCACATCAACTCCTCTTTGATCGAATGAATTGTTAAATAGATATATAAAAAAAGTAAAATTATGAAAACTACAACGGGTTAGGATATGTTAAATATAAATATGTAATCTTAAAATATTTTTAATTGCAGTCAATAAAGTGGACGTAACTGGCATTTCCGTTGGCGACATTTTCAAAATATTTGCACGTGTCATTTTATGAGAAATGCCGCGTTTTACCTCACAAAAATTCACTGACAATGTTGAACACTTAAATTTAACCTGACATCAGAAACGCGACCATTCCATTTGTAACCCGAACTGATCCATGAGTAAGAAGATTCACTTGTTATTTTGAAACGTCACTAACACATGAGTGTGTTTAACTTCCGGGTTCGCATCGTCGCTGTGAAGAATGGCGGAAGCTGCCTTCAGGTGCATTGAATGTAACGAAAAGGCGGCGGAGTTGCACCGAGATTACACCAACGGAATCCTGAAGATCACGTTATGCGTGCGTTACATTATAATAATGTTACTATTCAGTTGTTTGGCTTGTCTCCATCGTTTTTCTTGTGATAACGCGAGCGAAAATAAAAGTCCGATGGGATAAAGCAGCTCCTCGGAATTACGACGGCAAAGTTACGAACCACTCGGGAGCAGCTCTTTTATGTTTTTCACCGATTTAATAGCACGTTCGCAACCGCGTCTCGGTTATTGAATTAATATACAAATTACGGCCTGCAATTGTTATTCACTAAAGTATTTCTGGTAGCTTTGGACAACGGCCTGTTCTAATTTACGCACAAATTCAGGAATTGCGTACAGTGTCGTAAACCGAGGACACCCCGTGTTACTCTCCTGTTGTGTGTCGACGTTTCTGTTTTCAATGCTTTCATTCCATATGATAACATGCACGAGTCTGTGAATCACACACACGTGAATTACACAATTATTTCATTCATTTTGGCCGTTTCCCCATGTGGTTGCTTTCAAAATTCTGTGAATACCTTTCCCTTTTTGCCAAAACCTTAGTTAACGGGAAGAATGAACAATAACATGTATAAGCCCAGTCTTGAGGGTGATTCCACAAGGGGGCGCAATTTCTCCATATCAAGGGCAAGGACTGACGTCATAAAGTGAGGATTTGCCTCAAGTTTCCGTAGCTGCTTCCAAAGTTCGCCTTACACGATTGCCGACATCTCATATCATGGCAAAATAGAAAATATTTTCATGTATTACACATGCTATCCTTCTAACAAGGGTCCGTTCCCATTTTATCTTTAGGGTTCCTGCCAGAAGCCAGTGGACAAGTACATAGAATACGATCCAGTCATCATCCTGATTGACGCCATCTTGTGCAAAACTCAAGCCTTCAGACATATTTTGTTCAACACGAACTTGGATGTTAGTAAATAAGAATGGAAATTGGAGCACAATTATATTATTGAGTGAAACACAAGCACTGGTGTGACGTCAACGCATCGTCAGCCATTACTGGCTGTTCACGTGACGACCTTGTCATCGCGTCATGTTTCCAACACTGTTGTATTTTTTTTAAACACACATACTCAAGATATCTATACATAAACATGTTTCCTGTTGGAATGTATGCCTCAGACTGACTAAAAGTTATGACGTTGAAGTCGCCACTGCAAACAGTTGAGTTGACAGAGGATTTTCAATCTAAAATAGTCCACTGCTACCCTCTGCTGGCTGTTTGGCTCATTACACTCCTCGAAATGCTTGCAATTTCAGTGAATTAGGCCCAGATTACCCCCCCCCCCCCCCCCCCAAACACTTTTTTTCCCCCCAGTTTACTGAATGTTTTCTAATGGATTTCTGAGTTAATTCCTACACACAGTCGTTGCCCACCAGATCCACTGGAAGCTGTGCGTGTTCTGCCTGCTGTGCGAGGCCTACCTCAGGTGGTCTCTGCGGCACAGTTCAGAGTCCAGCGATGACCCCGCTGACATCATCAGGTACACCAAGGAGTGGGAGTTCTATGGCATGGTGGCCTTGGCTGCATTGGGTAAGACAACCGGATCAAACACAGGAAGTCGGAAATAATCTCGCTCCCAACACATCCACTTTTGAAGGTTTGGCGTTACCCTGTCTTCACGTTTAGAGCTGTTAGCGTTCTGCGGCGGCGTGTTGTTGGTCCTGAGGGCGGCGGCGGCGGCGATGTCCTCTCGTGTGTGTAGCTACAGTGGAGTGGGTGTGGATCTTCATCTCCTCTTGCGAGCGTTGTTGCTGTCCGGCTACGGGAAAGTCCTCCTGGTGCCCGCCGTTATCTGGGAACACGACTTCCTGCCGCTCTGCCTCGGCTTCATCAAAGTTTTTGTGCTAACATCCAACATGCAGGCCGTCCGAGGTCAGTGATTGCGTCGTGTGTGAAACAATGAGAGAGAATGATGGTGTACAGTTTTTGCTTTTGTTTTGGGCCATCCTACAGTGATCCTGAACTGCAGTAAGAGGTTGGCGTTGTCGTCCGTGTGTGCGGGCCTGCTGTCAGAGACGATTGCGGTTTGGATGTGTCAAACCGCAGCGGGCGCTTCCTTAGGAGGTGACCACGTTTGATTGAACCTCCATCGATACCAAATTGTACAAATGCCCTTTTATAATATTTAAGGTTTTTTTTTGTAAGGACTGATGTTTACCAATAAAAGGAAAGCTTGTGTCGTTTATTACAGTGCTCTTCATTGCATCGGCGCATTTCATATTTGCCATTCCTTTGTGCGGGTGTGCCGAATGTTGAGGCCCAAGCGGGTGATGAAAAAAAAAAAGGGGGGGGGATAGAAAAAAAGTGCGTTTGAGATCAAATATTTGAACCCAGTTGGAAAGTCCACAACTGCGGCGTCGCAGCGCTTTAATCCGACTAATCGGATTACTGCAACAGGCTATCACAAGTCATTTGGTGTTGACTGGCAACGCGAGGCACTAAGATGACAAATATGTTATTGTAATAAGCATTTTCTAATTGCATCATCGAGATAGGCAGAAGTGCGGTTGTTTTGGTGTGCATTGTTGCCGGCTGCGAGGCAGATGTCACAGGGTTCAAGGGTCACTGAACAGAGCTGACAAAATAACGGCCGTTAAGACTGAAAATTGTAGGGTTGTAATTTTTTCTTTCTTTCTCTCTATACGGTATATTCTTTCATAGTAGCACATTAGTGACTTGTCACCAGTTGCTAGGGAGATTTCATACAGCTTCATTGTAGCTGTAGAAGAGATTATATTAAATTGATTTTTTTTTTT